AAACCTGGTGACACTTATCAACACTGCCAAGATAGGGTCAGCACTACATAACTGTACATATCAGAGACACGCCCAATCAAATTCGACCAATCAGAAGCATCATAGTTTACGAGTTGAAAACTGGTTTTGACTTTAACGTTGACATGAAACAGACATGTGCATCATTGAGACTGTTATAAATAGGGTTATCTTAAAATGAGTGGCGCAGATATATATATAGTACGAGAGCTGGTCAAAAAGTTCTGAGTCTGACAAACTTTCAAATATGGGCCATAACAAAGTGAACTTGTCAATGTAGTACATTGTTTGAATAGTTCATTGCAATTGTAATGCGTCTGTTGAGGCTGTTTGTATATTAGTGACAGCTAGTTGAACATGATAGCGGTCCTACTGGACATAGAAAAGGAAAAGAACAAGTACCAAGCAGTCATCAAGTCACAAGTGTACTGGGATAAATGCCCAACTCGACTTGCAAAGGCTGCTGTACGACAAGGTGGGTTTAAAGATCTTCCTCACCCTCCCTCCTCGCCAGACCTGGTACCAAGGGATTTCCACCTGTTTCCTAAACTGAAAGAACACCTTCGTGGAAATCGCTATGACGACAACAATGACCTCAAAGCTGCCGTGAATGGGTTTTTCAGGGTGGCTTCAGAAAACTTCTTCCTGACTAGAATTTAAAAAAGGTTCACTATCAATATGACAAGCATATTGAAAAGCAGGGAGATTGCGTTGAAAAATAAAATTAAAAACACTGTTATCATGGTTATAATTGTTGGTTTTGTTTGTTAGTCGTAGACCTTTTTGACCAGCCCTTGTATTCTAAATAGTGACTTGGGCAGTCAAACTGAGAGAAAAAAATACTTTGCTTAAAATTGCTTTTTTTATGGTTCTCATTTTCTTATAATCAGAGGCATTTTAACAATGCATTCAATGCAAAAAATATACAATTAAGCATTTAAGTCTCTTCCTCTGTGAGGTACACTTACCTCCACAAAGACATTAATTCTAACTATATAAAAGTATATTTACCATGTTTACATGACTTGTGAATATCATAAATCCAGTGTGAGATTATATGTTGACATTAACTGCAGACCTGTGGCTAAATATAGTCCTCTGATAAGGTCTAGACAAATCCCTGAGTGAATAACCAACCTTTGTGCTACATACAACCCAATACAACATGTTTTCTGCAGAGCTCCAGATAAGCTTTTGGTGTTGTGGGTATTTTACCCATGCATATTAAAATCATTGGGTATCAGTAATTCTATCTGGGTATTCAAATTTCTGTTACCCACTAGTTTTTACACATGTGGGTATTTAAGTAAAATATCTAAAAACACTATTCATCTAGTCCCTGCAAACTGGTGTTGTGTGGGTTGAGAGCTTTATAGGACTCAAAAATACCGTGATACTTCCACAAGAAAGTGTGATGGCAAATAATCATGATGTAACTGTCATCGTGGAGTTTGGCAAGGTTGACGGAATGCCCGTTTATAATTTCAAAATATGTTGCTGATTTGCTAATCGAATACGCAGGGTTACTTACAATATTTTGATGACACGCACAAGTTATATTTTTGTAGCGTATCTGCAATGTTCGTTGCGTATTTCATACGCTTGGATTTTATTTGACTGCATATTTCTGCATTTCTGATGCGTATTTTACGCAGATAAGCAGCTTATCTCGAGCTCTGTTTCTGTGATGGCATTAAGTTATAAGGACAGCATATAGACAAGGGAATCCTATCACTCTGGACAAACTTTTGTGGGTTAGGGTTTACAGACTTCGATAGTAAAATATTTGTACAGGGTTTTTATAATCCAACTTAAATGTTTGATTTTGTGATATGTGATGTGGCGTTGTGTGCATGAATTCCATAAGACAGAAGTGGTAGATATGACGGACACTTTTAATTATTTGTAAACCTAAAAAAACTCAGTCCAATTGCCTGATGTCCATGCATTATTGTTTTCATAGAAACTCATTGTGCACTGTTCAAATTTGAACTGTCAAATGAAATCATACCCATGATCAAAGACGTATATACGTCTTTGCCATGATAAATCAACAGATCAGAGTCCCTTGTCAACACATATTCTACCATGAATTTGGAATTTACCCGATTCTGATTGGTCAATCAGAGGCTATTAAATCACAATAAACCCCCTCTGATTGAAACAGCTGGTTTGACGGCCGCATCACCGCGGAGCTAATATTCATATAATAGTACTATTTTCAGTCATTGTCGGTAGGCATATTTAAATAATTATCTCTACAATTACAGGTTACAAAATGCACAGATGCGGTTACTACAATATTCAAAGGATGTGTGGCAATACATTTCGTGCAGAAAAACACGACAGAAATCAACAAAGGGAATGTATGTACATTTTGGAGACAACAGAGAGCTTGGAATTTTGGTGCTTTTCTATATACGACTGTGACGTCATATCTTTTGCGTCACAATGAGCGATATGACGTCATAATGGTGACGCGCGATGTAGAGCGAAAGCCTTGCAAAGCTTTCTTTGTTTTCTTTAGGGATGCCCACCTCATGTTAGCTTACCAAGTTGCCGTGCTTATATGCTTTCAATGCCTGTCATATGTTCGAGTGAAGTATTACCGTGTAAACAAACTGCTTGAGTATATACGGCACCATATTTTGTTCGGTGATTCCGTAATTCAGATCGATAACCCACTCTGAACTCAACCCATGCCGCTTCACTCAGTATAAAGAGTTCGCGTTTTATTTAGTCATGGTAGAATGGAGATAAACATACTGTGTTTTCAATGCAGAGCTAGGTTACCTGTAAATTTAACCGCGCTAAATTTAACATTTGAAACCTCACGCTGCACGTTCGGTTCGTAATTCAATTTAGCGTGGTTAAATCTACAGGTAACCTAGCTCTACATTGAAAACACAGTATGTTTATCTCCTAATCGTCTGCACCTTTATTTATGCACTTCAACATTGATTATCTTGATTTGCTCATGTCATTTCAAGCTATGACAAACACTATTTTACTGACCATATACCAAGACGTGCTATCACCATTTCTTAAAAAATCTAAACACCATGTTTCCTATTTCAGCAGGACACGAGACTGGTTCATGTTGATTTTCTGAATTTATGAGCAGTGATGCCATTTTTCAGTTTTGGTGTTTCCATTCCATTTGCTCTCCGTGTGTGGAGGAGAGTGCTCAGCAACAATTTTATTTACACAAAGATTTTTGCCTGTGGATAGACAATCAAAACACTGGAAAGTATATAGCATTTATGTATTTCCTACAAAAGGCCTCCGTGAAAATCCGGGTTAGAATAGGTCTTCAGCAACCCATGCTTGTCATAAAAGGTGACTGTGCTTGTCATAAGAGGCGAGTAACAGGATCTGGTGCTCAGGCTCGCTGACTTGGTTGATGCATGTCGTTGTTTCCAAATTGCGTGGATCGATGCTCTTGATGTCCATCACTGAACTGTCTGGTCCTGACTCGATTATTTACAGACCACCGTCATATAGCTGGAATATTGCTGAGTGTGGCGTTAAACAACAAACTAATCCCACAAAGGCAAAAGCTTCAGTAAAGTGTTCCACACATCCTCATTCTCATGAGCATGCTCACTGGTTATTTATGTTTTTCTTTGGGTATTCAATATTTTTACTCTCTCTGGTCCAAGTGCAAAACTGGGTCCTCTGGAAGCACTCGTAAAATCTCCAAATCATCATCATCCCTTTGGTCCAGTCTATGGGGTACTTTGAACCAATGAATAGATATATTTCCAAATATTCCTGCTTAAACTCAGTTTCAAGTTACTTATAAATCACATCTGTTAATGGGCTGACCAAGTGTGTCACATGTCGCATATACTGAGGATGTCTATGTGAGTTTATACAAATGCAGACACACATCACGATACTTATTGTATCGTGATCAATGTGTCGTGATACATCTCATATCCTTGCTGTATCGTTTCACCCCTAAACATTTGGGGTGGTAGTGATTCTCTATAGCACAGTCGGTAATGCAGTGGGTAGGTAGACACTGTTAATGGCTGGCTTGTTTAGTTTTTATCCAGTGATTCATGACATGAAGATTTTTTGTTTCTTCCCGGAAATATGGTCAGGATTGTTGATGAGGTGTTGTAGTGAGGTGATGGTTGTTTTGTTTTGACTACACAAGACGTTGTTTTTGACATTATTAATATATCATTGTTAGAGTAATGCAAAATATAGAGTGCAAAAACTTTAAAAAAAACATGTCAAACATTAGCCAATCATTGGTCATTTTCTGCCTAAACATGATTAATCATGATTAAAAATACACAAAACTTGCATGATTAAATGACAGTCATAACCAAAATGATATCATCAAATTACTTATAACTAATGACATGGTGGCTTATTAAGATATCATGGGATATTTAGTTTCATGTATTGGATAGAGAAAACATCACTATCTCTGGCTAAAGATATAAGATGATGTTATTAGTATTTCAGTGTGAATATGTCACTACTGCACACCAACAAAATGTGAGCCTATACATACTCATAACATACTATGTACGATAAAGTTGAAATGGGAGTGATTCCTGTCTAGCGTCATCATTTCAATAAATATGTATACCGGCTTAGGCACAGGGTGTGATATATATTGTTATTCAGTAGCTTATCGTTCAACAGTGTTGATAGTGACAGTGTCATATGTCCACAGTGTCAAGTAATACTTCACGTTGTGTGTTTTTTCACGCTCTATCAGTGGAATACTTAACGTGTAAGACTATCATAATCACGAAGCAATATCACCAAAGTTCCTAAGAAATGTCGAAAGATATTGTCTGTAAACATACAACATACGGGTGTAACAAGTGGCAATGTATTGCCGTACGGAGTAGTGTGTCGCGGGAATGAACTGTCACTGTCAGCTGGCGAGACCGCCTCTCGCTTCGTCACTACGATCGGGTTGTAATAAAAACTTTATATGGTATGATTCCACTTACCGACACCGTATTTCCTTCTGGCCGCTTTCCACGAGAAATCCCCCATGACTGCGCTACCTTCCTATCAGCATAGTATCACTTCCTTGTTATGGTAGGCTTCGAGTGGAGCATGCTACCCGCCATTGTCAACATGTTTCTAAAAGTAGGAATCGGAAGCGAAATAGGATCAGATATCAAAACCGGGAAAAGACGCCACTTCAACTCATCGTCAGTTACCTGTGGTTCGTCGTTATCAGTTTGTTCATGATCAGCGATATGATTAGGCTATCATTTGTATTACGAATGTAAGCGGGAGGATCAACAGCAAAAGGACCATACTGTAAATTTTCTATCTCTGTTCAATACCTTTGCCAAGCAGGTGCGTGTTTTATTTAAAACCTGAATATGGGGGTGAACGGATGTTGTTTAGCCACAGTCGACACTATTCCAGTTATATCACGACGGCCCTGTTATTTTACTTCTCAAAAGAAGTTAAAGAACACCCGAGTTTTATAGTCATATGAAATAAATCGGGTGTACTTTAACATATATAATCGAGTCAAACCAGTGGTTGATAGTCTGAGCAACAACCCTCGGGGTCCGATAAACACGCGATGTGACCACCCGATACAACCAAAAGTTATACTGACTACACATATGACGTTGGTCGGGGAGTGGGTGAATGAGTGGGTGTTAACGCCAAATATATCACGGTGTGTCAGCTAAATGTGGGAGGAAAGCTCGAAGTGATGCAAGTCTTAGACGTTAGCACTTTTTTGAAACCCACGAGCACGGGTATGGTTCGAACAAACCTAGAAACACTATCATAGGTCACTGAGACGCAACTCTGCACAGCGAATTGCGGCGCCTTAGACGACTTGGCCACCCTTTTCCGTTGCGGATGTTCGGCAGCTTGACCCCTGTGAATATTTTTGAACTCGGTCCTGACCCAAACTGAAACACATGTAGCATATGGCGTCTCCATAGGCAAGAACCTCTTTTACCTAGCAGGGAATGGGTACCCGGTAGGATGAGATGTGACTGTTAGCCTTCTAGCGCCTCACGGGCACCTTGGGTTGAATACTCCCCAGGAAGCTGAGAAAGTAAATCGCGTGATCCACACTGATCCATTGTCCGGGGTAATAATGTAATATTGAAGCATGCTTGAAGGTGGGGATTTGGCGCATTATTAATATGCACATTATGTTATATGCTGCCTGCAATGTTTGCTTTATGAAGAAACTGCAGGATTATTCTCCACTGTATGCTGTTCTTTTCCGGGCTTGGTCTAGACATCATAATTAGAGTTATGTTAAAAAATAAAACTGCTACTTACAGTCCCAATACACAGTGAGGGGGGAGGGGAGGCGAGTGTTGCTTTCTTTCCCTCATCTTATGCACCCACCTGGGTACAATGTGTGAAGCCCATTTCTGGATGTATCCTGCCGTATATTGCTGGAGTATTGCTAAAAACGGTGTAAAACCAGACTCACTCATCCCCTGCAGACAGAGGAGAGTGCGTTTAGAGTGAGTGAGTTAAAATGTCGTCTGGGCGCTGTTCTAAAGACATATTTAGCGACGATTCTCCATCTTGAAGTCAGATCATGTGTATATATCATTCTATATATATGTCAATGAGAAATCTAACAGGTAAATTTTTTATACTTTTTTATTTGTTGCATTTCAAATCGCTTTTACAAACAGAAAACAATGAATTCCATGTTACAGTTAGTGAGTGAGTATGGTTTTACGCCGCTTTTAGCACTATTCCAGCAGTATCACAGCGGGGGACACCAGAAATGGGCCTCACACATTGTACCCATGTCGGAAATCGAACCCGGGTCTTCGGCGTGACGAGCTAACGCTTTAAACACTAGGCTACCCGACCGCCCCAATTCCATGTTACAAAAACAGTGCATGAGATGATGACTAAAATGTATAGAATCTGTTTACATTCCCACTCCACCCCTATCATACGTGCTGTACACCCGATGAGGAAATAATACTGCTTAAGTTCATTCTGGAAGCAAACAGGACATCGGATTGTTTTATTATTTCTGTCTAAACGTAATTAATAGTAATTGACATGCTTAAAGACAGACGTTTAATCCAGCATTGTAGGTCATACAGGGCCCGCGGTACAAAAGTAAATATGTGGTGGGGGGTAGTGACTCATAACATACTCAATTGTTTCCTTGCATCCTGTACATGCACACATATACAAACATATACACCGTATACTTCATCAGTGTGAAACTGGAAACACCCAGGACGGAAACGTAATTTCACTACAGCCCTGTGACTACTTAATGATAGTGATAAGTTTCCTTGTAAAGTCGTGGCTGAACGATTGGTGAGTGTCTGTGTTAGGTTGTAACGACGACCACAGCAGGCGGAACAAAGACCATGTGCATAAGAAGTTAATATTGAAGTTAACAGCTGAAGGAAATGGTCAAAGCTCAAATACACCAAAATTATATTTAAAAAGCCAATGCTTTATCGCAAGGAAATATCAAATATCGAACGCGAAGTACATAAATAATTTGCATCCTTGATAACTATTTTGGGCGGTCGGGTAGTGGTTAAAGCGTTCGCTCGACACGCCGAAGACCAGGGTTCGATTCCCGATATGGGTACAATGTGTGAAACCCATTTCTGGTGTCCCTCCGCCGTGATATTGCTGAAATATTGCTAAAAGCGGCGTAAAACCATACTTATATTGATAACGATTTTAGCTTGACAACAAGGCATGTTAAACTGGATGATGCAGATCTTATATTTCGCTCGTCGTGCCAAACAGAAACACCCCTGGGCCAGTGCAATGGTCAGACACATGAGTGGATTTGTCCCGTGACATTGCTCCAAGTCCTCCTGTCTGTTGATTCATATGATGATCGCTGTAAATGGAACTTTTCAGCATTTTTACATGCTGGTTTGCGATGTTGTTATGCGTACAGGCAGAATACTGGTTAACTCTCGGATGAAACCCTCAATCGTGATGCCCCATGATGTTCGGGAATATGTGTATATGCCATATCAATATGGAACACATAGTTTCTTTATTTTTTAAATTCAACTTTTCCTTGCAGTTTAATTTATTTCCCCCGTCAGTGAGCATTCTAGGACGAGTACGGTAAATGGGATATGGGTACAACTTTACAATATGTTCCTTATTGAACCTACTACTTATATAGTTATATATTTTACCCATCATATTATTCTCAAAAAGGTTTGAAGAACCATTTTTACATGTCTACGTTGGATTTTGAGGAAGTTATTGAGGCATATATCTCGATTTAATCATCTGAAGCGGCAGTCAGTTTTAAACATTATTTGTAGTGGCGAACATATGGTAAATTTGCTCCAGGTATAAATCCATTTTTCGATTTTTCACTGAAAGAGCAAGTAAAACAGAAATCATACTAAAACAATAGTCTGCCTCACAGAACCTGAACATTATTAGGATTAGTTTTCTTTCCGCTTTGCCCTTACTGAAATTCTATAGCCCTAAAAAATGAAGCAAGTCTAAAATTTTCCAAAAGCTGAATCTCTCATCTCAGCTTTTTCAATTTATTGGAGTTATTGGTTTTTATCAAATGATATATTTTCTGAGACTAAACGTTAGTCTACTAACATACCTAAGTATGAGCCTTACCCCCAAACTACCATCATTGGTAATGATTAATGAATTGTCAAATTTGGCTTAAACCCGCTATATATAAGTGCTCACCGTATTGAACCTAATTTAAATATTGGTTAAGGGATAACAGTTTCCAGTGAATGGACACTTTATTAGTTATAACGGGCGGTCGGTTAGCCTTGTGGTTAAAGCGTTCGCTCGTCACGCCGAAGACCCGGGTTCGATTCCCGACATGGGTACAATGTGTGAAGCCCATTTCTGGTGTCCCCTGTCGTGATATTGCTGGAATATTGCTAAAAGCGGCGTAAATCCATACTCACTCACTCACTATTAGTTATAACCACCAAACCTATTTTTCAAAAGAGTTGAGTTGGTCACTGTAGTGTCACTGTTTTGTCATGGAGTGTTATGGTTCAATCCTAGAGTGTCAAGCTGGCCCACGTCATCAGTGCCCTAAAGTAAACAAACTTGGACCGGTTTACCCCTGCCTGCTTCACTGGAGCAGGGGAACAACTGGGTTTCAGATTCAATGAGAGGGGTGATGTGACGGAGAATTTTAGCTTGTGCCTCTAAGTGTATATACTTTACATAGACACACGCACAAAGAATATAAATTCTTTGCAAAGTCTGTTGGGTTGAGCAATACATTGTTAACTAAATAAATATGGACCAACACGTGAAATCGTTGAAAAATAATTCAGGTTGTGTGGAATGAAACCATTTCTCGACTTTCGTTTTCAAGTCTAAGTTTTGTACAAACTGTTTATAAATATTTTCATCACGTGACATTTTGACCTAGAAATCTTAATCGCATCATGTTTGCATTGTCAAGAGTTGTGCGAATATTGACTTTATCATTAATTTCAAAACATATGTTGCTGTTTTAACTACGACTATAAAATAAAGTAATACATATTCACTGTCGTAACCATGCAGACAGTGACTGAGATACCGTGATTATTTCCCTTTAGAAAGTCTTTCCATGAGAAGTAAAGAAATCGATGTGTGTTATCCGGATTTGGGTATCGGACAAGACCAAAGAGAATGGGTTGATGTGTACATTTTGTTTGTTTTTTGTTTAACGTCACTCTCAGCAATAGTCCAGCTATGTGGCGGCGGTCTGTAAATAATCCATTCTGGACCAGACAATCCAGTGATTGACATCATGAGCCTCGATCAACGCAATTGGGATCGATGACATGCATCAACCAAGTCAGCGAGCCTGACCATGTTGTTGATGTGCAAAGAATGCACTTAAACATAAAGATTAACTTGTAGAACATTGACCGAAATAACAGAAATTAGTTAACGTAAAGCATAAGGTATATTATATGTCTTTGCTGATTTTTGCTGTCTTTTGTTGGTAACACATTCGAGTGCGGCCTTCTTGAGAATTATCCTGCGCATTATCACCTCTATATCCTATTATATTATTATCTTAAATATTTAACAAAACAGAATGGAAATACGTAATATACCATAGATAATCGAGGACGAAGATGCATTTCACATTATGATATGTACATGTGGGCTGAGGAAAGTGAATTGACATTTTGAAGAATACATTTTTGTAGTTTGTTTAACTATATTACATACAAATGTTATATATATACTCTGGAATACGAGCACCAAAGTTATTCCTGAATAATATAAGCACAAAAACCGACCACATTTAATGTAATTTCAAGCTCGCACGAGTACTTTTCTTGCAGTTATAATTAGATTTATTGTCTTGAATAATTTAGGCCTGAGCTATAAACATTGTATATCATCTCTGTATTGAGGCATTCAAACTGACAGCTCCTTTTTACATTAATTTCTTGGGGGCACGGGTGACCCAGTCGTCCAAGGCGCCGCGATTCGTTGTGCAGAAACCTATGATTGTTTCTTCGAATCCCGGTTCGCCCCCGATTATGTTTCTAGGTGTGTCAGCACCATATCCGTGCTCGTGGGTTTCACCGAAGCGGTAATCGTCAGAGACCTCAATCACTTCGGGCTTTCCTCCTACAATAATTGTCATAAAGTAATGAATTAATGCTGTTCGATAAAAGTAAGAACAGTAAAGCTGTTTGCCTATTGCTGATGCTGTGTACATGTCGTTGGGTGTGATTTCGTTTGTCTGCCATTCCGTTCCGGTTCGACAGTTGTATGCACCCGGTTCATACTTTTTTATGTAACCACGTGCTGTCCGTGTGCGTGTGTTGAGAAACTGCCATGCCTTGCCTATGACTATAATGATGAACAAACTGCCATTAAATGGTCTGAATAACTGCCGAGGACTTCTTCGTCTTCTTTTCAATAATATAACTGCAATAATATTAAAAACGGCGTAAAAACCAACTCACTCATTCACTCATTAATTTCTTACGATATTCAAGTAGTGGATCCTGGCCAAGCTGGATATTTCCAGTACGGGTGTCGACGTTGTAATTGCTGTCACGTCTAAAACTGTGGCACTGTCTCCGCCTATTTCAAACTGCTAGATTGGAGTACGTTCCGCATGATGATAAAGATAATTTGAATACACAGGTGTATTACCAACTTTCTAGCTAATTTTACAGTATGTCGTTTTTGGTGTTCGTTTGTCATCTGACAAGGTAATCAATTTTTAAATGCAACATGTGCAAGTGAATACCTTTTTCAATGTTGATTATACAGTTACATACAACACTTGTTTTTAAGTTTCGAGCATTCTATAAAAAAATTTAAAAAACCTAAAAATATATAAATGCATCCCATAACAGATAACAGTCACTTATTGATAACTGTAAGATGTACAGCGAGATAACGCGAGAAACACTTTGCGGTTTATAGCCCCAAAATAGCAAATAACGTGTCATTTGTGTTGACTCCTAAACATGTTTATCATCCAAAACTTGCTCCTACAGGAGATATCGCTTGGGTGAGATCAAGCGATATCTACAGTAAATTGCATCACAATGCTTTGCAGACCATTGTGACGTCACTGGTTACCATGACGTCACAATCAAATGACATCACTAATGGCTCTGCTACTGAAGCTGTTAGCAGTACTTTTTACACTTAAGACACTGCTTATTACTGTCTACAAACTGAAAAAGTTGGAAGAATGATGTTGGATGATAAATAAAATCTCACTCTCGTGTCTTTTGATATCAAATATATCAACACTCGTTGATAAAAGTGGAAAAAATCCTCGGCAAGCCTCGGAGTTTTCCCACTTTTATCAATCGTGTTGATATATTTGATATCAAAAGACACTGATGAGATTCTCTATATGTCACTGAATGACAGTGTATGTTCTTTTATACAAGTGTGCTTCAATCGTCTGTATCCGCGTATGTAACGTCGTTTATATTGAAGTTCACACAGTCAAAGACAGGTTTTCTTGAACCACCATATCGCTTGGTTGTTTTTGTTCGGTTGAAACTGCTGGATAACTCAAATCAACATGCACGTGTAAAATACCTACCCTCCGGGTTTTAGTAATAATTGATCCAATATGGCGGCCTCCATGGCAGGTACGATCAGCTGTCAAAGACATATCGCTAATGTTACCATACAAATGTTGCTCAAGATTCTTTGACTGCTCAAATTCTTCGTATCTTTTCAGGATCCAGTGAAAAGCCTGTTCTAGAAACCCTAAATCTGTCCACATTCAGCGATGTTGATGAAGAGGATGACCCAGCAGACAAATCTGCTCAACGGGAGGCAACTCTGTCATGTTCTTGTGCCCTGTGTGACGAGACTTTCAATATTGAAGACAAGAAAGACCACCTGCTTGCACATATGATCATGGCTCATAAATTTGTCGTTGCTGACGTTAACCTGATAGCAGAGTTTAAAAGGTGACATTTTGTGAGAAGAATGTTCTCGGGTAAAATATGGTCACTAAATTGTTTGGGGATGCACATGATGAAGGGGTTGTTTGCTAATATTATTTTTTTGTGTAGGGTATGTAGTACTATGTACTACAGAAACGCATGGTAGATGCCTATATATAAATTTACTCTGGCCGAAATCTTAATAGGGATATGTACCTGTAACGTATGGTTCACTATAGATGAGGTAAGGTGAAATGGGTTAACATCGCCTCCAAGATTATTGCACTTATAAAGTTATATAGCATTATGTATGCACGTGTGTGTGTGTGTCTGCTTGTACTGGTGCCGATTTATAGTGCTAGCCCACTGAGATACCATGCCGCAGTTTAACATGAATACCCCACTCAGACACAGTATACTGACTCCGAGATGACCAGTCCTTGTTTTAGCCCCTTAAAGGGGCACTGATCTAACGCAATTCCCCGGGACTGGTTGCTGCCTTTGTTATTGTTTTTTCCCAGTGAGTACCCGGATGTAGAGCAGAAATCTAGACTAGTTCACGACCTCTGCTGCGCCATTCGTAAGCGCATTAGTCACTTTTATGGGTAGTAATAAGGGCGTATGGTCACATTGATCAACAAAATGAAATACAGTTTTCGAGATAATAAGGAAATGTAGGTATCTTTGTGGGTAGCATCGGTAATGGTGACGAAGTTTTGATAAGTCACTTGCTTGGTAATTTTGCGATTTTCGTTTACACTATTTTGACTTGCAACACAAAGTAAATATTTCACCTGAGCATTGCTTTTTTTATAGTGTGTATATTTTTTTTACTGTCAAATGTGTAACAAATTTATTAAACGTCTAAATATTCAGTTATTTTACAAAGTGACTGAAAAACATTTCCATCTGTATTATTATGACAACGAATTCCAAACATTTTGATGTGTAATGTCATCACCAAGAGACTGAAAATGTTACGTTGAAAAGTACATTTCTATGTTGTTTGGCTTCTAATCCTACATAATAATCTGTTGTGATGTTTGTAGGCCCTTTTGATCGTCTTAATCAACCTGGGCAGATTTTTTAGTCAAAATGACTGAAATATTTACACATTTTATAAATTGCCTGAGAGAATCACATTTTACAAATTGACGGTAATATATACACGCTTACAAAGGAAAAGACCTGTGAAAACAACGTCTATCGCGCATTGAAGAATGTCCCAACCAAGACGTAGAGAAACAAGAACGAATCCGTTCAAATGAAGGAAAACAAAATGCAAATTTCATAATTACAACCTACCAAATTTATGTGTATAAATTTTAGGTAGCTTCCTTGTTCGAGGAATGTATCCGTGAATATCCACACAAAGCAACAATATCCCACTTGTCTGTAGCTGTACAAAGAAACTTATTCGATGTCACGTGTCTCAGTAACAATCAAAAATGATATTTTAAAAGATATATATCGTTTCGGGATATTATAACCCGTGTTCGTTTCTCAACTGATCACTTGGATTGTTTCAGGTGTTTTACATAGGTGTCAAGTCTCAATGGACGGCTGAGAAAGCGCACGTGACAACTAACGTCCACGGTTCCTAAAAAATCCATTTAGTGATAGATAACAATGATCAATCAATCAACGTATTATCAGTTAACCCTTTGAACAAAGTATGTTGTTTTTACATCGGCACTTCACGCCATGATATGAGTGTATTCCCTTTGTTTTAGTAAACCCAGACATGTAAACACTCACTCTTGACATATCCACTGTGCAAGATAACAGTGATTAATCAATCAACGTATTTTCTGTTAATCCTTTGATGACTAGGAACGATCCGTTGATTTACAAAAATAAGTAAATCAACTGATCATTTATCTCTTGCTGGGCTGCCACGTGCATATTACATAACACACATTTCAACTCACTTCAAACCTGGATTTAGATTGAATAATTACCCCAGACACAATAAATGCCAAATGGGAACTTTTGTCAGGTAATCTAAGTGGCGCTACCACTAATTGTACCTGTAATAAATTCATTAACTGAGCACCAAGTGAATGACGACAAATACACAAGTGTAGGGGTTATACGAGAAAACGTGGATGACAACAAGGTAGTAGTAATCGTATTATCGACGCAAGCCGAAATCCGAAAATGCTTTCCTTGCATGGATACTTTTTTTAGTATTAAACTATAACCATCTGGGGTATTTCCAAATGACGACATCCGATGAGCTCCGCTGTTCTTTTTGTCTGTTTGTTTAGGCTGAAGAAATTAATTAACATGCGCCCTTTGTCGAAATCTTTATAGATCCCAGTTAACCAATCAGTGTTTATGCAAAAATGCGTAAAACAAATATTGCCTCCAGCCTCCAAGTTTATTTAGCTGTCCTTGCAGACGGTAGCCCAGTCTCTGGTCACGCTCAGTTGCGTTGCGTATCATCCGGGTACTCACGGGGGAAAAAACAATAACAAAGGCAACAACCAGTCCGGGGAATTGCGTTAGATCAGTGCCCCTTTAATGCCGAGCGCCAGACAGGGTAACAACAAGTACCATCTTTTAACGTTTTTTGGTATGACGCGGCCGGGGATCGAACCCTGGACCTTCCGCTCTCCGGGCGGCCGCTCTACCTCTAGGCCACGGAGGCGGTCAGTTTACTATAGGTTCACTGATTTTAATGAGATGAGATGATGAGATTTTAATGTACATGTAGTACCTTATATGATGACAACTCCTTCAGCACTGTTTTCACAGATTATTTCTTTATAAGCCCAAAAAAATATTTGCAGATATGCACTTTGATGATATCTTAAATGAAACAATGTCTGATTCTGTAGAACATGTATTTGAAACAGAAATAGGAGACTAACTGTTATTATTGTCATGATGTTAATGAAGCAGAAACTATACCTCCATTTTAAGTCTATCAAATAGTAAAACAAATCATTAACTCTGTTTTGAACAGTAAGTCATATTGATGTCCATTTAAATTCAAACCACTTGATATTCAGAAATGTGTGTTTTCTTACTCATTTTGAAATATGTGCAGCTCTAAAGTAACTTTTATTTCATTATTTCTAGATATATATTGTATTGGAAGAAGAGGTTTAAAGAGGAGCCTTTAAAAGATTTCTGCACAACTATCATCACAAACACAGGAGCGACAGACAAAGGTATGGCTAGTTGACGTCGCCTGTCAATTCTGACATATTTAAGCATTGCATCCAATGCAATAATCATAATCATGTAGACACAAGTATTAAAGTTTTTTCTTTTCATCAATCCAGTTGTCAGTGAAACACTTGTCATATTTGCAAAACTAGGCTATTATTAAGCATTAAAGTAGCCTTAATTGGGGTATGTTTTACCCCCAATATCATCCTCATGGAATGCCTAGATCAGTCCCTGCGTGCATACCATTGTCGACCCATGAAGATCCGGGGTAGAATAGATCTTCAGCAACTCATGCTTGCCATAAAAGGCAACTATGCTTGTCGTAAGAGGCGACTAACGGGATCGGGTGGTCAGGCTCTCTGACTTGGTAGATGCATGTCATCAATCCCAATTGCATGGATTGATGCTCATGATATCAATCACTGGATTGTCTGGTCCAGACTCGATTATTTACAGGCGCCATCATATAGCTGGAATATTGCTGAGTGCGGCATACCTCAACTGTACATAATCACAGAGTATATATACAATTATCTCCCCTTGACCAGCTGGGTGATGAGCAGTTATAAGCATCCATGAGGTATTCTGAAATGTGAAGATTTGCTGGATGACCTTCTCCTAGCTGATCACATGCAGCGTCAGACAGTGTTCGATGTTTTGTAATGACTCAGAGTGATGACTTTCTAATATACTCTGCAAAGGATAAAGTTCATAGAATGCACTTGGCAATGGGGTTTGCTGTTTTCACTTTTGAATTTTCACATGGGTACCATTTTCAAAACCCTTTCTTAGTGTCCCAATCTGTGATAATACTGTAGGTCTGGAAAAAGGCTACAAGCAGTGTAATATCACTTACCAACCCAATCACTCCCCCCCCCCCCATCACACACACACACAACGCCTTCACTCATCCATACACCCATCCTCTCACAAAGTCCCCCATACACACTCACTAAAAGTAAAAAGTTTATTCTGTGATGTCTCTATGATTGTCCTGTGATAATTCTGATTGTTTTGTAATTATTCTGTGAATGTTATGTAATTGTTCTGTGATTGTTCTGATTATTCTGTGATTGTTCTGTGATTATTCTGATTGTTTTGTGATCTTCTGTGATTGTTCTGTGCTTGTCCAGTGATTATTCTGTGATGGTTCTGATTATTCTCTGATTGTTATGTAATTATTTCTGATTGTTTTGTGATCATTCTGTGATTGTTCTGTAATTATTCTGTGATTATTCTGTGATTGTTCTGTGAATGTTATGTGATTGTTCTGTGATTGTTCTGATTATTCTCTGATTGTTATGTAATTATTTCTGATTGCTCTGTGATCATTCTGTGATTGTCCAGTGATCATTCTGTGATTGTCCAGTGATTATTCTGTGATTGTCCTGTGATTGTTCTGATGTTGCAGCCCCCCGGGAGGAGTTCCTCATGCTGAGTGATGTCCTACCTGAAGACAAGCAGCTGCGGGAGTTCCTGCAGAAGAACAAGCTGGTACTAGATTTATGTCCTCATGGTCGTGGTCTTTAGCATGGTGAACAAACACCTCCACCTCACTGTAAAAGGTTATGTGAGGATGTTGTTGAAATCTGATACATACAACATATTCTGCATCGGTCAATGTATTGTATGCTGAGTATTCCTTGACACATCACTGATTATCCAGGTGTATATATCTCCTATAGAACTGTGTAACAACATGTTGTTGTTGTTGTGGAAGGAGGAGATTGTGACTGAACTGTGTGACTAAATGTTGTTGTTGTCATGGCAGGAGGAGATTGTGACTGAACTGTGTGACTAAATGTTGTTGTTGTTGTCGTGGCAGGAGGAGATTCTGAAGGTGCAGCAGAGGGAGAGAGAGGACACTCACTTCTCACGCAGCTGCCTCTTCTGCTCCCAGCACTTCCAGGGAAACAGGTCACTTTCTTTACAGATTATCTCCCTTTATTTAAATTGTTTAAATACCCTAAATCTGCTACTGGTGTGAACACTTTGTGTTAATCCGCTACTGGTGTGAACACTTTGTGTAAATCCACTACTAGTGTGAACAGTTTGTGTAAATCCTCTACTGGTGTGAACACTTTGTGTAAATCCACTACTGGTGTGAACGCTTTGTGTAAATTGCTGCTTGTGTGAACACTTTGTGTAAATCCACTACTGGTGTGAACGCTTTGTGTAAATCTGCTACTGTGTGAACACTTTGTGTAAATTCACTTCTGGTGTGAACACTTTGTGTAAATCTGCTACTGGTGTGAACACTTTGTGTAAATCTACTACTGATGTGAACACTTTGTGTAAATCTGCTACTGGTGTGAACACTTTGTGTAAATTCACTTCTGGTGTGAACACTTTGTGTAAATCTACTTCTGGTGCGAACACTTTGTGTAAATCTACTACTGATGTGAACACTTTGTGTAAATCTGCTACTGGTGTGAACACTTTGTGTAAATTCACTTCTGGTGTAAACACTTTGTGTAAATTCACTTCTGGTGTGAACACTTTGTGTAAATCTACTACTGTTGTGAACACTTTGTGTAAATCTGCTACTGGTGTGAACACTTTGTGTAAATCCGCTACAGGTGTGAACACTTTGTGTAAATCTGCTACTGGTGTGAACACTTTGTGTAAATTCACTTCTGGTGTGAACACTTTGTGTAAATCTGCTACTGGTGTGAACACTTTGTGTAAATCCGCTACTGGTGTGAACACTTTGTGTAAATCTGCTACTGGTGTGAACACTTTGTGTAAATTCACTTCTGGTGTGAACACTTTGTGTAAATCTACTTCTGGTGCGAACACTTTGTGTAAATCCGCTACTGGTGTGAACACTTTGTGCAAATCCGCTACTGATGTGAGCACTTTGTGTAAATCCGCTAGAGGTGTGAACACTTTGTGTAAATCCGCTACTGGTGTGAGCACTTTGTGCAAATTGCTACTGGTGTGAACACTTTGTGTAAATCCGCTACTGGTGTGAACACTTTGTGTAAATCTGCTACTGGTGTGAACACTTTGTGTAAATCCGCTACTGGTGTGAACACTTTGTGTAAATCCGCTACTGGTGTGAACACTTTGTATAAATCCTCTACTGGTGTGAACACTTTGTGCAAATTGCTACTGGTGTGAACACTTTGTGTAAATCCACTACTGGTGTGAACACTTTGTGCAAATTGCTACTAGTGTGAACACTTTGTGCAAATTGCTACTGGTGTAAACACTTTGTGTAAATTGCTACTGATGTCAGTTCTATATTACATTTGTTCCAGGGCAGAGTTGTTCAACCACATGGTACAAGACCACGCATTTAATGTCGGACAACCAGATAACCTGGGTGAGGAATATTGGCAAACATTTCCATACATCATCTCTTTAGTAGCCTGGTGATGTTGCCTCGTAATCAGCCTGTGCTAGAAAAGTAATAAATTATTCAGGACTAGAAAAGTAATTTACAGCCCCTTAAGTACCTAAGGGATACTGAAGTCATTTGGGGCTTGTGAAATTAGTTCAGGGCTAATAAATGTATTAAATATTAAGGAATGTTACTGGAATGGATGCATTGCTTTTAAAAGTATTTCACTCCTAGCCAAAGAAATTTAGTCAAACAAAATTAATTCAGGGCAAAAAAACACCCTTCATGACTACAAAAGTATTGCTGTAAAAGTATTTGTTCACCAGTCTATATTTTTGGATAGATATGGTAATAATGATATTTGTAGTGATATCAAATAGACATGATAGAACTCGGATGAAAGTGACTCAAGCAATTCTGTTCTTTTCAGATTATGCTTATTTTCTTTCAGTGTTCACAGATGAATTTTTAGATATCCTTCAAGGGAAACTGCAGAAGTAAGTTCCATGTGCGTTCCAGTTGTTGTGGGGCAGTGTGGTATTCTAGTGGTGAAAGCGTTCGCTGGCCATGCCAAAGACCTGGGTTCTATTCCCCACATGGGTACGATGTGTGAAACTTGTTTCTGGTGTTCCCCTGCCATGATAATGCCGGAATATTGCTAAAAACTCACTCACTCCAGTTGCTGTTAGCTTGAATGCTTGAAGTGGTGATGCTAGTTTGATTCTATGATTTCCCCGATTATCATCCTTGGTTTTAAAAAGGTTTGCAACTAACTGAATACCTGGTCTCATATCTGAAATTATATAGGTCCCATTTCAATCAATTTTATTCAAATTTTAGATAAAACTGGAGTGTCAAGACGAGTTAGATAAAGACTAGAACAAAATTTCAGTCTTAAACATTGTCTTGTACATTGTACATTGTACAGTGTAGATATAAGTCATTCCACAGCTGTTTTAAATGTTCAATGGGTGAAACTAAACAAGATTAAAATGTGAATTGATAGTCAAATGTGTATTGTATCATGTGAGAATATTATTGATGCACTGATATATTGGTGAGTTGTGAAATACCCAGTCATCACAGTGCTAGACATGTACAACCTGGGCTTTTTCCCCATGTAACATACACGCATGTTGATGTGTGTTATGGGGGGGAGGGGTGGGGTTGGGAGGGGAAGGTGGTGTGGAAGTCTGACATATATCCAGACTCAAATATTGACAGCCCGACCTCATATAGCTGGAATATTGCTGAGTGTGGCATTAAACAAACACACTAACCTGAATAAAAAAAAAGGACAACTTTATGGATAACAACTCCTGGTTTATTGCAAAAAGCAATGTTTCGATATAGATTCTTACAATGTTTTCAAGCTGGAGCGCAGCTGATATCGGTGTAAGAATCTACGGCGAAAGATCGCTATATGCAATAAACTTAAAGTTGTTATCCATAAAGTTGTACATTTTTCTTATTTACGGGGCAGCTTCTAGAATGCCAATAAAAAAAAAGTCATAATAATATTAATTTTTTATTAAGTTACATTTTTGGTACATTTTAATATTTCTTTCAGGTTCCTGTGTCTCTACTGTGAGAAGACCTTCAGGGACAGACCCACGCTGAAGGAACACATGAGGAAAAAACAACATCGGAAAATAAACCCAAAGAACAAGAAATATGACAAGTTTTACATCATCAATTATCAGGTACAACTGCACTTAGAGTTGGGATCACAATGTCACATTTCAACGCTTTCACAAAGTCTGCATCAACATGCCTGCAACTGACCTCTGTAGCTCGCACATTGTCTGGTACATGCAACATCTCTACAATATGATAGAGGTCTAAACCCAGATTTACATTGATTAGTTGTTTTATATGTTTTACTTTGTTCATGTACACACTAACCCTAAACATGAGAAAAGTCAGGAATGTGGAAAAACATTTAAATTCCATTAAAAGCTTTTCTTATCAACAGGGCTCAATTTTACTATATTTAGCTACATGTATATATTACAGGCACCAGTGTAACATATTATTGAAAAATGCAACCTAATACATGCACCAAGTGCATATAACAAAATTTCAAAGTAGACTACCGGTAACCATGCTAACTCCTACTCCTCACATCATTGATCTTTTATTACGTTTAACAGCAGCATGTCATTAACTCATGTGACACTGGCAGCAGACCAGCCTGTGTTTCAGCTTTGATAAATTTATGGGACCAGGGTGCTGGTTTAGTTTTGTGCAACTAGGTTTCCATGTCAAATGCACCTGGTGCAAGTTAAATCAAGTTGCTCCCACTTGGGATCTTGTCATCCTCTGCCATCTGTCCCCTGCACAGTATGAACTAGGCCTGGGACGGGTAACTCGGGTACTCAGGTCGGGTGGGTACTGAGTAGGACCCGGGTACCCACAGGACATCCCCGGACCCGTGGTTAGTTACATGATATATTGTTTAATCATAAAAAAATTATCTAGAACTCTATGGTTACACTACAAGTCACTAATGTTCGCATTTCTTTCAGCCTAAGCACCATTGCTTCTGACCTTTATAGGTTTGAATAAAAATAACACTTCAGTCAACTTCAGTGTATGCATGAACAGATCGTTTTATACATATATTTAAATACATTTTACCAGGGCTACACTCAAACTATTTCCAATCGGGCATTTTGTACCAAACTCTTGAGCCCTGTAGCGGGTACCCGGGTAGAGTGGGGTAATAGCGGTGTGGGTACCCGGGTAGTCAATTTGGACTCGTCCCAGCCCTAGTATGAACCACTTGCTGAGAAGGACTTTGAGCAGATCACCTTTAAGACTGTATTTCCCCTGGCCCTCACCACAGCTGCTAGAGTGAGTGAGGTTCATGCTCTTGATGTTAACAAGGTCCAGTTTGAGAGAATACAGGTCTTATGGGAAGGTCTTTCTGGCCTTCGCTGTGACTTCATCGCAAAGAATCAGCTTCCGGAACAGCCACACCAATTGTTTAACATTCCGTCATTTGCATCCATCTTGAGCCCAGATGACCCTTAAGATATCTCCTTATGCCTGGTTAGAGTGCTCCATATCTGCCTTGAGGCTGTGTGACCACTTTGGCGCACCCACAGGAGACTCTTAATCCCCATATGACTTCATCGCGAAGAATCAGCTTCCGGAACAGCCACACCAATTGTTTAATATTCCGTCATTTGCATCCATCTTGAGCCCAGATGACCCTGAAGATATCTCCTTATGCCTGGTTAGAGTGCTCCATATCTGCCTTGAGGCTGTGTGACCACTTTGGCGCACCCACAGGAGACTCTTAATCCCCATTTCCACGGCTGCCTCCCCCGAAGTCTCCCGTCCTACAGTCTTCTTTGGGCTTCGTTCACCATCCTGCAGGCCTACACATTTGCGAAAGCCTCCTCCTGTGATGTTCCATCCACATGAGGCTAGAGCCAACTCCTCTACCATGACCTTACATAGCAATTGCACCCTGTCTGCCATCAAGTAGGGCTGTTTTTGAAAGTCCTATACTGTCTTCGCTTCCCACTCTCTACGTGACATGCCTGTCACCAACGTTCAGGGCCTCTACCAAGTTTGGTGCCTTAGTCCTGGCCCAACAATTGACGAATGCACACCCTCGCGCAGATAGACGATACTGGTACTCACGCCTGCTATCCAGTACTCCGTATGCTGTATGTATAGAATAATTATTGGAATTGTGTGTTTATTGTCTTTAAAAGTCAGGTTCCCAGACTGAGTATCCAGAGGAGGGTGAACATGTTCGTCTCCAGAGACTCTGGGCTTCAACGAAGTCGCCACAAGGCATGGCTGTCTTGGCGGTGTCCCGATCCCTTACCCTCTCACCTCTGCTATAGGCATATGATGTCTTGGTATTGGTTCGATGATCCTCTTGTGGATGTTGTCAATCGTTTCTCTTCTCGTCTAAGCATGCTTCTATCCATTGGGCGTTGATGATAGCTTTGACGAAGTGTTAAAAGAGATGCCAAGCTGGCTTACCATATTGTCCATCGGAGATAGTGGTGTTGTCTGTCTTGTAGAACCGATTGCCTGGAAACCCCTTTCCGATTGGTTTTCAGTCATTTTCTGAATCGGTTCCTATTCAAGCTAAGTGAAAACACGTAACACATGTTCTACCCGATTTACGTCTGATTAATGTAAAGGGGTCACATCGCCTGTTATGGTTTGTTTATCCACTCACGAGTTCGTGTCTTACGACACTAGGCAGTGTTATTGGTTCTTATATTTCTATCACTGTTTAACACCATCTTCCTCGTGTATGTCTCACGGTAGACTCTGCAGGCTAGGGTATACGCACCTCACCGTCCAACCGTGGGATAAAATGCATAGTGTGACATAGGATAAGTTTAAAGATGTGAAAATTTTACAAAATTGTATATTTTTATACTTGTCCTATCTCACATGGTTCATGCCCACCAAACCATCACAGCTCCTCTTGTTTGCTAGCTCTAAGAAAGAATTATATTGCAGGGGTAATCAGGTAGTGTAAGGTCACAGGTTTACGGTGCGTGACACATTTGTTGGGGTGGTGACCATGGTGATGCTGAAATGTGTTCGGGCAAAATATTTTTAGAAGCTGAAAACTTTATTCAAGTACATTAAAAGGATCGAAAGAAGGAAGGTATGCATAGTGTGAGATAGGATAAGCATATAAATATACAATCTATTGTAAAGTTTTCAATTTTGTTGTGGCCTAAGTTGTATATTGGTGCCTGTGTTAAATAGCATGCCCTTTGTAGCGGTGGCCTTGACTCAAGGAAAGGTCAGTGTTAACCTTGTACATGCAGGAGATGGGTCGGAGCTGGGAGGCCATCCAGTCTGAGGAAGATGTTGCCGCAGATGACGCCGCCGAGACGGAGAGAGAGACTGACGAGGAGGAGTGAGTACAAAATTCTTTCCCCCTTTTTTCGTTTAATGGTCTCAACAGGGATTAAATATAAAATCACTTTGTGCTGTAGAAGTCCTTGATCAACCCTTACCAAATTATCACTGACCTTCCGCTTCATGGGAAGACACTCAATCCACTAGACCACAGAGTCTGTCACCTATTAAAGATATGATGAGACTTAATCATTAGTGGTGTAACAATATGGCAATACAGTATTGTATTGCGATACAAGTCCCACAATACAATACATCAATTTACTACCCCTGTATCGGGATACATATGATACATTACATTACAAGTTATATTGTTTCCTGTTGAGGTCATTAGTATCCCCCTGATCAATACAACATTATACTGTAAATCTTGAAATTAATGCGTCTCCAAATTAATACAACTGCTGACCCCTAGCCAAATATACAACTCAAAATCATGCGACTTCCCCCCCACCCCCCTCCCAGCCCCAATGGAATGATACAAATCAATACCTTAATCCAATCAAACAGCAAATAGTACCACTTATTAGCACTGTCTTCATGGGAATAACAAACAGCGTTTTCCTAAAAACAACACACAGTTTATATGTTTATTCTGCTGACTGGCATTAAGGAAATAAGATAATTGAACCAACAACAGTTCACTGATTGGAGTTGTCAATGATGTCTTGTTTGACATGAGTGGGTAGAACTCTTGACCCCAGCAGTGATAACTCACCGGATGTCTATTGTGTAATTCCTATTCTTTAAATGACATAGTTATGTACCTGTTACAACTGCTGCTCAATAAACCATGTTTGTGTTTATATTCAAGTTGGTATTTCCGCTATCCAAAGTGTGCAATGAGGCCGTCTTGGTGTTGATAGTAATTTTGGAGACATATAAATGCGAAGTTTCATTAATGCGAACAAAGACCACTCGCATTTTTTGCATTCAATTTATGTTTGCGTTAATTTCAAGATTTACGGTATCTGAATCCTGTTCCTGCCAATAGTAAGTTGGTGAATGGGATCTACAAGTTCATGGAATACTGTCAGTTGTTTGTTTGTTGTTTAATGCTGTCAGTAATGAATCTGAGGTTTATATGTGCATTAATTGAGTTATCCTTTTCTCTAAGGAGTTGACAGAATATTGGACCGTTCGATACTTAGAGTGCTTTCAAATTTTTATTGAATTGTGTTTGTTCAAATTCTGAAGGATTTGGGGAGTCGGGGGTATTCAGGTTTTTTAATATGTATGCATATGTATACGGAACACTAAAAGTTAGACATCATGACATTTTTGTAGAGAAATCTGAGCTCACAATTTTCTAAAATTATCTGAAACCATATTCGTGATCCCTGACAATTTTTGTTCAGTATATTTCAAGAAGTGTTTGGGTTCATGTTATTGGGGCCCATATGATTTGAAAAAAAAGGTTTTGAACTGATAGATCTTGTCACTGTATTATCAACATGCATCTGGTAAAATTTACCAAAATGCATCTTGAGGACAGAATATTGTAGTCGAGTGGGACACAGATTACTTACTGTAACTCTTAGGGCGGTCGGAAAGCCTAGTGGTTAAAGCGTTCGCTTGTTACGCCAAAGACCCGGGTTTGATTCCCGACATGGGTACAATGTGTGAAGCCCATTTCTGGTGTCCCCCGCCATGATATTGCTGGAATATTGCTAAAAGCGGCGTAAAACCATTCTCACTCACTCACTAATGTTACTCTTGCAAACCACTGTGTACTGCCTGATGGATCCTGTGGGTGGATGAAGACAGGTTGTCTGTGTTTCAGTGAATGGTCAGGGTGGCTGGAGGAGGCTGGATCGCAGGCCTTGTGTTTGTTCTGTGAGTTTTCCTCAAGCATCCCCGACAGACTGCAAGCTCACATGGTGGTAGGTGTTGTCCCACATGGCTTAGAGTTGTCAATCCATGCTTTCATTCCACTGACCTCACTTTTCCACAAAAATCCACAATCATTGACGATACATTGTTAAAATTAAATACGCATTTCAAATAGGTATTTTTGAGCTGAAAAATAAGCCAGTCTTAATGAGAGGCTGATAAGATCATATTTGGCATGAAAATGTCCTATTTTCTATAGGTTCAAGCGTTATGCTAGTTAGATTGATGACACAAGTGCAATATATCATGGTTAGACCAGGGGTCTCTAGCCAAATCTGATGTGTATAATTCCAGATCATACTCATGCTCATTAACTCCAGTGGTAATTACTTGATAATTCCTTGATAGTACTGGTCCACAGTTACCTTTGCTGGTTGAAAGGAGGTGACTATGTTGGAAAGGGTGGTCCAAGTTTGGTGACATATTTTTGTGTGTCATCTTCTGATGACTGCACGTAATATCAACCACTGGTTTGTCTAGCCAAGGCTTGATACAGGTCAATCTCATTAAAATCAGACCTAAGTTCTCACTACCTCTAAACAAAGATCTGCGGACATCCCATTAAGGGGTCACATCAGAACGACCTTTCATTCGACCAATCAGAGCGTCGCTTACCAGATCATGAAAGTGACAGTCGGAATGTGATTTCTAATCATGCAACCCCGAAAACTTTAAAACGGGGTATTCCGAACGATAGTTACGGGCTTAACGACTAAATCTATATAATCTAGACCATATATTAGCCATTTGAGAATGTTCTTTTGTTCAGGTTTCTAATTTTTTAGCAAGAATTTGTAAAAATATGTTTTGAAACGTAGTCTCCAGTTTGAAATTAGTGCCGTAGAGAACGAGAAAGCTGCCTTATGATTGGCTAATGTCAACTTCTTGTCAGTAATTCCATTTGTCGAAATGGCGGTCTGACGTGATCAGTAATGGGATGTCCTCAGATCTTTGTTTAGCGGCAGCGAGAACTGAGATCTTATTTTAATGAGATTGGATACAGGTGAATATTGCTGACTGACATAAAACAGAATTCACTCATTCACTGTTTTCCGTCCATCCTGTCTTACCAAGGAGCTGCATGACTTTGACCTGCATGAACTGAAGCTGAAGTTGACCCTGAACTTCTACCAGAAGGTCAAGCTCATCAACTTCATCCGCAGACAGGTATGTTCCCAGGTAGAACATGTCTTCATTGACAGCGTGTTAGGCTTAAAAAGATAAAACACTTGGTTCTCAGGCAATGTTTTTTTTAAACATAGTGCGAGCGGGCGATGTCTTTTTCTTTTCTTTTTTAACTAGTATGTAACCAAATAAGCAATTGTGTCCAATGAACCAGGGAAAGGGCCTTCATACATAAAAGTATTCCTTGATGAATAAAATACAGTAAACTACGGATAGAACGAACTCAAAGGGACCACTAAGTTTAGTACGTAATAACCGTAGTTCATTATAAGCATGTGTACAGCATCTATACAACAAATGTCTGGGACTAAAATAAGTTTGTTAAATCAGGCAGGTTGTTATAAGCGTGTTATAATAGTTTACTGTACTGGAATACAGTATTTGACTACCATTGAACTCTAAGAATTTTTTGGTTTATAAAAAAAATGGAAATATAAAACGAAACGTGCTGCAAACTTTATGATGATGCAGGCGGAGCCTGAGAACCAAAACTATTATTATTTTTTTAGCCTTGTTTCACTGCATTTTCTGGATTTGATTATTTACAGGCCGCTGTGATATGGAAGTCTTTGAAGGGCATTTAGAAGTTGGGTGAACATGAAAGCATGACCCTTTTGTAGAGATAGCAACTTCTTTTGTTCAACGTTTCAGGGCAACTTCTTGCTCCTTCATCGGGTGAATGCCTAGTAAGTGCTGTGTACATACCAAGTAAGTACTTACTTGGCATTCAACTGATGAAGGAGCAAGATGTAGCTCTGAAATATCGTACAAAGAAAAAAAGAAGTTGCTATCCATAAAAAAGTGTCAGGTACTCTGTCATTTTGCTGGAATATTGCTATGTGGAATATTGAGTGTGGAGTTTACACAACGACAATTGGCACCAATAATCTGTCATCAGAATTCCTGGCGATTAAGGACAAATTGGTCAGAACCAGAAACTGTTTACCTGAAACAAAACTCTTGGGCCAATATTAAGAAGTATTTAAGATGGGTGTTAAAGTATAATGCCTTGAAGTACTCCAATGTCTGCGACTTTGTGAAACACTGTTCCTTGTAGGCATCACTATCTGTTTCAGATCCACCAGTCCATCTGTTACGGCTGTCAGGGAACGTGGGACTCCAGGCACCACCTCCTGGAACACATGCACTCCATGAGACACATCAACAGCATCCCCGACATCCGGGTGTGGGATCAACCTCAGTAGGTTCTCCATCTCCTCGTGGGGATTCTGGGTTAGAATTGGTTCCCAACATATGCTGGTCATAAGAGGCGACTTAGTGGATCATTGTAAACATTATCAACCACTGGAATAACGGGTTCAGACTTGATTATTTACAGGCTGCTGTAATATAGTTTAAATATTGCTAGGTGAGGTCTTAAACAACAAACACATGCACAGATTCTCCATCTGTACATGGTTCCACTATCACTAGTCTGTGGTCAATCTCTTATGAAAATATAATCTTCTGGCCAAATAAAAAACACATGCCCAGTGTGAAGCAATATCATGTTCTTCTGAATTTATTCAAATTATAGACAATAAATGATGCAGATTTCAAAAGATGTTGACATAGTTTTAGTGGATAATTGACAATTGCGTGAATAATTGAAACATTAAAGAATCAAATGCCATGCAATTTATTTATTCTGATTTGACTCTTTCCAGGTACTACTTCCCTACCTATGAGAATGACAACCTGCTGTGTCAACTTGATGATGACGACAGTGATGACAGATCCTGCAGCACTGATGACGGTGCACCGGTCATTGCTGAAGATATCCCGGTGAAGGACACGATACTGACCGATGAACATCTCCGACAAGAAATACTGTGGTCGTGACCCATCTCCTTAAAAAAATACTGTGGTCGTGACCAGTCCCTGACAAGAAATGCTGTGGTCGTGACCAGTCTCTGATAAGAAATACTGTGGTCATGACCAGTCTCTGACAAGAAATAATGTGGTCGTGACCAGTCTCTGACAAGAAATACTGTGGTCGTGACCAATCTCTGACAAAAAATACTGTGGTCGTGACCAATCTCTGACAAGAAATACTGTGGTCGTGACCAATCTCTGACAAAAAATACTGTGGTCGTGACCAGTCTCTGACAAGAAATGCTGTGGTTGTGACCAGTCTCTGACAAGAAATACTGTGGTCGTGACCAGTCTCTGACAAGAAATACTGTGGTCGTGACCAGTCTCTGACAAGAAATACTGTGGTTGTGACCAGTCTCTGACAAGAAATAATGTGGTCGTGACCAGTCTCTGACAAGAAATAATGTGGTCGTGACCAATCTCTGACAAAAAATACTGTGGTCGGTACCAATCTCTGACAAGAAATACTGTGGTCGTGACCAATCTCTGACAAAAAATACTGTGGTCATGACCAGTCTCTGACAAGAAATGCTGTGGTTGTGACCAGTCTCTGACAAGAAATACTGTGGTCGTGACCAGTCTCTGACAAGAAATACTGTGGTCGTGACCAGTCTCTGACAAGAAATAATGTGGTCGTGACCAGTCTCTGACAAGAAATAATGTGGTCGTGACCAATCTCTGACAAAAAATACTGTGGTCGGTACCAATCTCTGACAAGAAATACTGTGGTCGTGACCAATCTCTGACAAAAAATACTGTGGTCATGACCAGTCTCTGACAAGAAATGCTGTGGTTGTGACCAGTCTCTGACAAGAAATACTGTGGTCGTGACCAGTCCCTGACAAGAAATGCTGTGGTTGTGACCAGTCTCTGACAAGGAATACTGTGGTCGTGACCAGTCTCTGACAAGAAATACTGTGGTCGTGACCAGTCCCTGACAAGGAATACTGTGGTCGTGACCAGTCTCTGACAAGAAATAATGTGGTCGTGACCAGTCTCTGACAAGAAATAATGTGGTCGTGACCAGTCTCTGACAAGAAATACTGTGGTCGTGACCAATCTCTGACAAGAAATACTGTGGTCGTGACCAATCTCTGACAAAAAATACTGTGGTCGTGACCAGTCTCTGACAAGAAATGCTGTGGTTGTGACCAGTCTCTGACAAGGAATACTGTGGTCGTGACCAGTCTCTGACAAGAAATAATGTGGTCGTGACCAGTCTCTGATAAGAAATACTGTGGTCATGACCAGTCTCTGACAAGAAATAATGTGGTCGTGACCAGTCTCTGACAAGAAATACTGTGGTCGTGACCAATCTCTGACAAAAAATACTGTGGTCGTGACCAGTCTCTGACAAGAAATAATGTGGTCGTGACCAGTCTCTGACAAGAAATAATGTGGTCGTGACCAATCTCTGACAAAAAATACTGTGGTCGGTACCAATCTCTGACAAGAAATACTGTGGTCGTGACCAATCTCTGACAAAAAATACTGTGGTCATGACCAGTCTCTGACAAGAAATGCTGTGGTTGTGACCAGTCTCTGACAAGGAATACTGTGGTCGTGACCAGTCTCTGACAAGAAATAATGTGGTCGTGACCAATCTCTGACAAAAAATACTGTGGTCGTGACCAATCTCTGACAAGAAATACTGTGGTCGTGACCAATCTCTGACAAAAAATACTGTGGTCGTGACTAGTCTCTGACAAATACTGTGGTCGTGACCAATCTCATGTACATACATTGTCCATAGATAATTTATTTGCTTGTAAATATACAGACAGGGGAACCTGCATGTTACAACTTGTCATCTGTCCAAATTAAACAAAACGAAAACAAAACAAACTTGTCTTATTTCTTATTTAACTTGCAATAATGTGTTAAATCAGTCAGAATGCAAATAACTTTTCACATTTCAATATATGTCTCCTATATAGTGTTATATATCAGTTGAATAGTTGTAAATGCTCTTTAAGATTAGGTACTCTATCACTATTTCACATATCAACACACATGAAATCCCAACGTTGTGTGTGCACAGGTTCTCAGTTCCACACACCTCCGTGATCTTGTGAATAGAAGTTGTCTGCCTAGAGAACGGAAGGTTGGTGGTTCGATCCCCTAGGTGGCTGGGAGTCACTCAACTGTGTCATAGTTGGGTATCCATGTTAAACTGCAGTATCTCACTGTTCTGGCGCTTTAAATCAGGCATTAGCAAGCAAACACATGTACTCACGCATGCATGTCACTATATAAGTGCAATAACCTTAAACCTACATTAAGCATTTCACCTTGCCTTGGCTCCATACAACAGTATCATTCCCTGTTGAGTTCCAAAACAAAAGATCTCATTTCCCTTCCAATAAAAGTCATTTATTTTCACAAGAAGAGACAGTGACAGAACAGCATGTTTTATGGGAAACATGTACTGTTGGGTGTTGAAGGTAACAATAAATGACAAACGTGGCAAAAAACCCTCAGTTCCTTGAGTGACAACAAATGGACCATGTCCAGACTAAGCATAAACTCTGTTGATAGAAACAAGACCTACATGGAAGCATTTTCAGGACCTCAGGGTGGGGTGGTCCAAAACCTCTATTTTATCTGCATTACTGGATCATCAACGAACATTGGACATTGATTGAAGATGGCATGACAGCAAGACCAGAGGTGAGAGATCTCCAGGTTAACCACACTACCACCTCCTGTAGATGATTGGGTAAAGCAGTCATCTTGACCTCTACGACTGACTGATGACTTCAATTTTACAGCATCCAACCGACTGGTTATGGTTGGATCACTGTGACGATTGCAGGTGAAGGTTCTAAGCTTAGAGTTATCTGAATCTTTCTCTTGTGGCTAGGTCTGACGGTCTTCCAAGTCTAGTTAATCTACACCTACCACAACCATGCCTCATTTAGCTATGGAAGTTCCATAAACTTCAATCTGGCTAATCGATTTAGGAACCTGTCGGAGAGAGTTTCCTGACCACTCTCAAAGCAACAAGACGAAGCTCGGGTGACACAATCATGCTGTCATGGTCACTTCATGCATTTTCCACGAATGTGTGGTGTTACATCTGGGAATCATTCCTTGGTTGTTTTTGAAAAGTACACTGGGATACAATGAAAACATATGAAACGTGAAGTGTTGAAGCAGTTTGATGACCCAAGCCATGGTGTCATGGACAAGTGTAGATGGCATCATGGACTAGTGTAGATGGCATCATGGACTAGTGTAGATGGCATCATAGACTAGTGTAGATGGCATCATGGACTAGTGTAGATGGCATCATGGACAAGTGTAGATGGCATCATGGACTAGTGTAGATGGTGTCATGGACAAGTGTAGGTGGCATCATGGACAAGTGTAGGTGGCATCATGGACAAGTGTAGATTGCATCATGGACAAGTGTAGATGACATCATGGACTAGTGTAGATGGCATCATGGACTAGTGTAGATGGCGTCATGGACAAGTGTAGGTGGCATCATGGACTAGTGTAGATCGCATCATGGACAAGTGTAGGTGGCATCATGGACAAGTGTAGATGGCATCATGGACAAGTGTAGATGGCATCATGGACAAGTGTAGATGGCATCATGGACTAGTGAAGGTGGTGAAGATGGAGAAGTGTAGATGGCATCATTGACAAGTAAATGTGGTGTAGATGGCATAATGGACAAGTGTAGATGGCATCATGGACAAGTGTAGAAGGCATCATGGACAAGTGTAGATGGCATCATTGACAAGTGTACATGGCATAATGGACAAGTGTAGATGGCATCATGGACAATTGTAGATGGCATCGTTGACAAGTGTAGATGGCATAATGGACAAGTGTAGATAGCATCATGGACAAGTGTAGATGGCATCATGGACAAGTGTAGATGGCATCATGGACAAGTGAAGGTGGTGCAGATGGACAAGTGTATATGGCATCATGGACTAGTGTAGATCGCATCATGAACAAGTGTAGGTGGCATCATGGACAAGTGTGGATGGCATCATGGACTAGTATAGATGGCATCATTCACAAGTGAAATTGGTGTAGATGGACAAGTGTAGATGACATCATTGACAAGTGAATGTGGTGTAGATGGCATAATGGACTAGTGTAGATGGCATCATGGACAAGTGTAGATGGCATCATGGACAAGTGTAGATGACATCATGGACCAGTGTAGATGGCATAATGGACAAGTGTAGATGGCATCATGGACAAGTGTAGATGGCATCATGGACTAGTGTGGATGGCATCATGAACAAGTGTAGATGACATCATGGACTAGTGTATACGATGCGGTTAGATATTGTACATGAAGTGGTAGGATATTGTATCTGAGTGACTGAATGAGTTAATATTTAACCTCACATCGGCGATATTTCAGCCATATCGTGACGAGACGTTATGCATTAAGTTTTCATATATTAAGAGTGAGTGAGTGAGTTGGGATTAACGCCGCTTTTAACAGTATTCCAGTTATATCACGGCGTGTCAGCTTAATGTGGGAGGAAAGCCCGAAGTGATGCAGGTCTCAGACGTTTACCACTTCGGTGAAACCCACCAGCACGGGTATGATGCTGACAAACCTAGAAACATAATCGGGGCGAACCGGGATTCGAACCCACAATCATAGGTTTCTGGCGTGCCCAAGGGGCGCAACTCTGCACAGCGAATCGCGGCGCCTTAGACGACTAGGCCACCCGTGCCCCCTCATATATTTAGACAAAATAAAAACCTTTCAATTATAAACAGTAACAACAAGAATATCACAGATTAATATTCAAAACAAGCATACAACCATAAAAAGATATCACTATATGTAACAATACAATAAACAAAAGGTTATAGATCGCAAGCAACTGAAGGTAGATCTCCATACTAAAGTATTCACGGAAATGAAAAAAAAACTGTTTTTTTCGATCTCAGATTTTAAATAAATGCAGTTAATATACAAAATAGATAAATATTCAAACAACTCAATTAGTACTAATTGGGCCTTGGCACAAATACAGCGTATCAAAGGGTCTTATGTCTTTTTCACACGTAAAAGTGTGTAAAAATATGAACAAAACAGACTATTGTGAAACTGAACATAACCAGGTGTTATTAGATCAAGGTGAATGTCCATGACCTATGACACCTTGACGACAGGTGAAAACAGGTGCTTGAAACCCACGTGCATGTGATTTGTCAGTGGTTAGTGATTTGTGAGTGGCATTGTGGGATAGTGAATCATCGTCAAAATATCAGAACGTAAAAGTAACAAATTCCCTTCTCAAACAACAACTTACATGTCATTATTATTATGTACATAAACATAACTGTTATTTTTATTCTTGTTTTGATAACTTTTTTTCAGGCTAATTTGCATAATGCCTATAGCCTGTTTCTGCCATGTCAATTTGGACTTAGTTTTATTTTTGAATGTTGAAAGTGCCTACAAATTACCTCCTGTAAAGTACATTTTGTATTGAGCACTGAGATAAAACTAGCAAATCCAGACTAGTACTTTTCCAGTTGTTTTGTTATTTCGTATTTACATCTACGTAATGCTTTGTGTCGATTATTAAATCCAGCAAAACAGTTTTTATTCATTTCCATGAGTACTTTAGGGACCATGGGGATTTATAATACCTTTGCTACCTGCATGGACGTCCAGCAGGATGTACACCACCCCTTTAATGGCTGGCGATTGTACGCAATTACAAATATTCTACGTTTAAAAGAGTAGTAGTCAGAAATATTCTTTGAATGACATGACTTATGATATCCTCTCGGGGGAACAATAATTTTACACAACTTCAACCCCCTTCGAGGATACATCCACTAACAAACTCAGATATAATTTAATTCTACCAAAGGTCATTTATTTTAAACAAAATATATTATCAAAATATATTATACAATTCTATTTCTTTTAAAAACCCAATAATTAATGAGAACTTATATTATTAAAAATATCCTTTATGGATGAAACCATGAAATCGTTATCTGTTGTGATGGAAAAATGAACAGCCAGGCAGGACATGCTTGACGGTGATTCTTTCATCATAATGGAAACAGAATGGAGGATCTTCACCTCTCAATATATATTCATGGGTATCTCTACTATGGCCAATGCGACATCGTCGTAAAATTACCTCTTCAAATCTGGACTGACAACCCGAGTAGACGTGGGCGATATTTGGTTTAATTTCATGTTTTTATTGATACCTACTTTAGTATCCTACTTCTTTTGCATGATATCTTTGATGTAACATCAAGTTACAGATTTATAGTCACTGTATGTGATAAGAAGTGGTGTCACAGATTTGTTTTGGGCTGCTTTTGCAGCAGCATCGGCCATTGTGTTACCAATGATTCTAACATGGCTGGGTAACCAACAAAAGACGATATCGTACTGGCCAGTAGCAAGAGCACTATGTAGTTCTATGATTTCACGTAAAAGTGGATGTTGACAGGATATATTTTAATGGCCTGAAGACAGGAATTGGAACTTGAAAATATAATGAACTGTTTGTGCGTAGATTGAGTATTTATATATTTGAGAGCTGTTAATATTGCCTTTGATTCTGCTGTACAAACTGAACTGTCATTTGGTAATCTTGAAGATATGGTGCTGGATTCATTGACAATGGCGCTAGCAACTGCGGCACCATCTTGTGCTCAATCGGTAAATATGGATTTTTATGTACTGTAGGCACTCCTTAATTGATGATTTTCTTGCTAAAACATTGACTGATTAGTGTCTGATTTCTTTAGCGTTGTTTATGAAAGATCTACCTGTGGCTTTACCAGTTGCCACGGAGAAGACGACAGTATTTGGGTGTGGTATTAAGGTCAATTTGTCAGGATTTATTCTTATTACAAGGGGTGGAATCAGGGATTGTTTCTTGTGATATAGATCCTCATACAGAGGATTAAAAATGCAGTCATAATCTTGATTTGAAAACTAGTTTTGTCATGTATTGTGAGGATACTTTCATGACGTCGTTTTAGGGGTGTTAATGGGAGGGGTTCTGAAAGCAAACTTGGCCTCCTTAACAACTGCAATATGAGTGCCATCTAAAACTGGTTCTGGGTCTTTATGAGGTTTGTATTTTCTACAAAAGTGGATGCAATACGTTTTTAATTTTGAAGATTTAAAACCATTTTCTAATGACAATTTGTGGATTTCATTTAGACACAATAGTTGTTGTCTTTCGACAGGTATTCATATTTTTACCACGACATGAAAAATCATCAACGAATAGAGATCCATCAATGGAATCATTTAAAACCTTAGATTTATTTCAATACTGAACAATGTGACAGACATAATACTGCCTTGTGGGACACCCTGATCCTGATTGTAATGATCAGACATGATTCAACCCACACGAACTTGAAATTGTCTGTCTTATAAAAATGTGGAGATGAATTGAGGACAATGGCCTCGCAACCCAAAATCATGTAAATCTTTTAATATACCATGTTTCCATGTAGTATCATATGCTTTTTCTAGATCGAAAAAGATAGACACTGCATGTTGTTTGTTTATGATGGCATTTTTAACAAAAATGGATTCCAAACGGACTAAATGATCGATGGCATTCAGTTTGTACGGAAACCACATGGTATATGTGTCAGTAGATCATTGGTTTCTAGGTACCAAACCCAGCAATCATTGATAACACGTTCCATAGTTTGGCAAACGCAGCTGGTCAATGAAATTGGTCGATACTTTGAAGGATCAGTATGATCCCGACCAGGTTTAGGTATTGGAACAATTATAGCATGAAGACGAAAGTTCTACTGAAGTCCGGATTTCATCAAATATTGTCAAAAGGGTTTCTAAACATGATTGCGGTATATGTTTTAGGAGTTGATAAGGGATATTATCCGATCCTGAAGCAGTATCATGAGCTTGCCCATGGGCAATTTGGAGCTCATGAATGGAGAAGATTTCGGTCTTATCTTCCCAATTATCTGAATTAAAATTAATACATTTCTTTTCTTGCTGCTGTTGGTATTTTTGGAATTTAGGGAATGTTTAGTCAGACTTTGATCAAGTTTATTGGCAATATCTGAAGTATCTGTTAACAAGTCACCACCATTTCTAAGATGGTGGATGCTAGTTTTCAAACCCTTATCTTGAATTCTTTTAATCATGCTCCATACTTTGGATATTGGCGTACGTGATTTTATTTTGAAAATTATTGTTGCCAAGACTGGCGGTTGTTTTGTTTAAATGTACGCCTTGCTTTAGCATTTATAATTCATTTAGATAATGCAGCATAGAATGGCGACGGAAATAATGTTCGGTCTTTTTTCTGGCCTTCCTAGCTTGTTTGCAGGCATCATTAAACCATGCGGTTTTCGTATGTGGGGAACCGCAGAGGACTTTGGAGTACATTCATTAGTTATTATGTTAAGGTCATCAGAAAAAAACATTTTGTCGGATCAGAAAAATAAAAAACAAGATTAAATTTAAGTTTGTTTTTACATACAGTCCCACAGAAGGCCCAGATAGCTTTATTGGAGTTCAATCTTGATAATGGAAGAGCGTCAGATGGAGTCACAGGTTTTAAAATAGAAGGAAAATGGTCACTTTCACAGAGGTGATCGTGGACCGACCATACCAATTCATTCAGTATTTCGGAATCTGTAATTGACAAATATATAGAAAGGTTAGTCATTATATATGCACAAATCGTTATCAGAATTGAAATCTTCTATGGTTTTTCCCTGCTGCTTGTATGCGCACTGGGGCGGTCGGGTAGCCTAGTGGTTACAGCGTTTGCTCGTCACGCCGAAGACCCGGGTTCGATTCCCGACATGGGAAAATGTGTGAAGCCCATTTCTGGTGTCCCCTGTCGTGATATTGCTAAAAGCGGCGTAAAACCATACTCACTCACTCACTCACTGTATGCGCACTACCCCCAAAGCGGATTTTGTCCATTGAAATCGCCCATAATAGGGTCATATAGGGTCAAGGTCACACTGCTTCATAGAAGACGATGGGGGAATGTCAATAGAGCATAAGGTAAAAACAATATGCATGTTTATACGGATAACGACAGCTTAAAGTGGGGTATCAAGAGTTACAGGGCTGTGAAATACACCCTGCCTCACCAAAAGAGAAGAACCTCCAGTTGCTTTAGCACCTGGAGGTGAAAAGAAATGGTATGAATTGTATTGTTTGATGTCAATTAGATCACTATTTTTTTATGTAAGGTTCTTGGATGCATAATGATGATGGTTTATGATCTTGTATTAATAATAACAAATCATTGAAATTATTCCTTAGTCCTTTGCAATTCCATTGGATAATATTACTCATGGTGGCTCAATCTTTAGGCATAAATTGGAAGATGCCATGTGCTCTCCGCTGCAGTTTGCACAATGGGTGGTGTTTTTGCACTCGAAGCTGTCATGAGCTCCACCACAACGGAAGCATGCTGTGTCGTTATGGCAGTACTTGGCACCATGTCCAAATTGCTGGCATTTGTCACAACGGAGCGGGTTAGGTACACAGACCTTCACTCCGATGTTGAAGTATCCGGCTTTAATTGAAGTGGAAAGTACTGAAAGAGAAAAAAGTGAAAAGTTAAGCATTAGTTTGTGTGATTGTTCTTTCTTGGTTTTTCTTTGCTCAACGTCAGGGACTCCTTGGTTTTCAAACTCAGATGCAAGTCCCTCTTCGCTCATGTCAGCCAGACGACGAGCGCGGTCCCTGATGATGCCTTTTTCGAATTCGGTGTCTTGTGAACTGAGACAACAACCTTTGTGTTAACAAACCGTTGTAAGAACAACAGATTAACAGATTGTTGTCACCTTTGATGCCATGGTATAAAACAAAATGGATAGTCGCAATAGATTTCCGTCTGCAGATGCAATGACGATTAACACTAGCCAGGAAAATGCTGATATTTCATGAGATACTTCTTCATCAGAGGAAGTAGAATCTACATGTCAACGTTTGTCTTTGCTTGGATGAACCAGGTTGTTTGTTGTGAGACATATTGGAAGGAATAGTATTCAGCACCCCTGTTCCCGACCCACCATCGAGTGGCAAAAAGGACTGTGTTGCAGAGGAAGCCAGCCTGCAACACCAGGGCTATAGTGGTGTTATACTTTAGCAAATATAGACTTAAATACCTATGAGAACTAAAAGAACAAGCTGTTTCGGCCCATGATACCTCTGTCATGAAGCACAGAATTAAGAGGTCCATATCACCAGATCGGCCCATGAGCCACCGCTTTCTGGCATAGGACAAAATACAAAATATGCATAAATAGGGTTCTCATATTTCATGATTTACTATTGTTTCATGAACATATTCCATGGACGGGGCATGGCGTGACTAGCCGATTGAAAGAATCGGGCCCATTCTACCACCCGTCTAGGTGAAGTCAGGGTTGGAATGGTGTGTTAGGCAAAAGGAACACTGTTCCTTGCTTCAGTGCCATCAACCACCAGAATCCCGTCCTCCAACGACACAGCAGCGCAACCCGGGGCCAAAAGGTTGCCCAATTGGGTCGCCTCTTACGACCAGCAGTTGTGTGCTGGGGAAACATTCTACCTCGGGTCACCACGGAGATATTGTATATGATGTGGTGAGATATTGTATATGATGTGGTGAGATATTGTATATGATGTGGTGAGATATTGTGTATGATGTAGTGAGGTATTGCATATGATGTGAGATATTGTATATGATGTGGTGAGATATTGTATATGATGTGGTGAGATATTGTATATGATGTAGTGAGGTATTGTACATGATGTAGTGAGGTATTGTATATGATGTGGTGAGATATTGTATATGATGTGGTGAGATATTGTATATGATGTAGTGAGGTATTGTATATGATGTAGTGAGGTATTGTATATGATGTGGTGAGATATTGTATATGATGTGGTGAGATATTGTATATGATGTAGTGAGGTATTGTATATGATGTGGTGAGATATTGTATATGATGTGGTTAGATATTGTATATGATGTGGTGAGATATTGTATATGATGTAGTGAGATATTGTATATGATCTGGTGAGTTATTGTACATGATGTGGTTAGATATTGTGTATGATGTAGTGAGATATTGTTGATGATGTGGTGAGATGTTGTATATGATGTGGTGAGATATTGTATATGATGTAGTGAGATATTGTATATGATGTGGTGAGATATTGTGTATGATGTAGTGAGGTATTGTATATGATGTGGTGAGATATTGTACATGATGTGGTGAGATATTGTGTATGATGTAGTGAGGTATTGTATATGATGTGGTGAGATATTGTACATGATCTGGTTAGATATTGTATATGATGTGGTGAGATATTGTATATGATGTGGTGAGATATTGTATATGATGTAGTGAGATATTGTATATGATGTGGTGAGATATTGTACATGATGTGGTTAGATATTGTGTATGATGTAGTGAGATATTGTTGATGATGTGGTGAGATGTTGTACATGATGTGGTGAGATATTGTGTATGATGTAGTGAGATATTGTATATGATGTGGTGAGATATTGTACATGATGTGGTGAGATATTGTGTATGATGTAGTGAGATATTGTATATGATCTGGTGAGTTATTGTACATGATGTGGTTAGATATTGTGTATGATGTAGTGAGATATTGTTGATGATGTGGTGAGATGTTGTATATGATGTGGTGAGATATTGTATATGATGTAGTGAGATATTGTATATGATGTGGTGAGATATTGTGTATGATGTAGTGAGGTATTGTACATGATGTAGTGAGGTATTGTATATGATGTGGTGAGATATTGTATATGATGTGGTGAGATATTGTATATGATGTAGTGAGGTATTGTATATGATGTAGTGAGGTATTGTATATGATGTGGTGAGATATTGTATATGATGTGGTGAGATATTGTATATGATGTAGTGAGGTATTGTATATGATGTGGTGAGATATTGTATATGATGTGGTGAGATATTGTATATGATGTGGTGAGATATTGTATATGATGTAGTGAGATATTGTATATGATCTGGTGAGTTATTGTACATGATGTGGTTAGATATTGTGTATGATGTAGTGAGATATTGTTGATGATGTGGTGAGATGTTGTATATGATGTGGTGAGATATTGTATATGATGTAGTGAGATATTGTATATGATGTGGTGAGATATTGTGTATGATGTAGTGAGGTATTGTATATGATGTGGTGAGATATTGTACATGATGTGGTGAGATATTGTGTATGATGTAGTGAGGTATTGTATATGATGTGGTGAGATATTGTACATGATCTGGTTAGATATTGTATATGATGTGGTGAGATATTGTATATGATGTGGTGAGATATTGTATATGATGTAGTGAGATATTGTATATGATGTGGTGAGATATTGTACATGATGTGGTTAGATATTGTGTATGATGTAGTGAGATATTGTTGATGATGTGGTGAGATGTTGTACATGATGTGGTGAGATATTGTGTATGATGTAGTGAGATATTGTATATGATGTGGTGAGATATTGTACATGATGTGGTGAGATATTGTGTATGATGTAGTGAGGTATTGTATATGATGTGGTGAGATATTGTACATGATGTGGTTAGATATTGTGTATGATGTAGTGAGATATTGTTGATGATGTGGTGAGATATTGTATATGATGTGGTGGGATATTGTATATGATGTGGTGGGATGTTGTATATATTGTTGTAGGATATTGTATATATTGTTGTAGGACATTGTATATGATGTGGTGGGATATTTTATATACTGTTGTAGGATATTGTATATGATGTGGTGGGATATTGTATATGATGTGGTGGGATATTATATATATTGTTGTAGGATATTGTTTATGATGTGGTGGGATATTGTATATAATGTGGTGGGATATTATATATATTGTTGTAGGATATTGTATATGATGTGAGATATTGTTGATGATGTGGTGAGATATTGTACATGATGTGGTAGGATATTATATATATTGTTAAAGGATATTGTATATATTGTAGGATATTGTCCATGATGTGGTAGGATATTGTATATATTGTTGTAGGATATTGTACATGATGTGAGATAATGTTGATGATGTGGTGAGATATTGTACATGATGTGGTAGGATATTGTATATATTGTTGTAGGATATTGTATATATTGTAGGATATTGCCCATGATGTGGTAGGATATTGTATATATTGTTGTAGGATATTGTATATGATGTGAGATAATGTTGATGATGTGGTGAGATATTGTACATGACGTGGTAGGATATTGTATATATTGTTGTAGGATATTGTATATGATGTGAGATAATGTTGATGATGTGGTGAGATATTGTCCATGATGTGGTAGGATATTGTATATATTGTTGTAGGATATTGTATATGATGTGAGATAATGATGATGATGTGGTGAGATATTGTTCATGATGTGGTAGGATATTGTATATAGATTGTTGTAGGATATTGTATATATTGTAGGATATTGTCCATGATGTGGTAGGATATTGTATATATTGTTGTAGGATATTGTATATGATGTGAGATAATGTTGATGATGTGGTTAGATATTGTCCATTATGTGGTAGGATATTGTATATATTGTTGTAGGATATTGTATATGATGTGAGATAATGTTGATGATGTGGTGAGATATTGTCCATGATGTGGTTGGATATTGTATATATTGTTGTAGGATATTGTTTATGATGTGGTGAGATATTGTCCATCATGTGGTAGGATATTGTATATATTGTTGTAGGATATTGTATATGATGTGAGATAATGATGATGACGTGGTGAGATATTGTTCATGATGTGGTAGGATATTGTATATATTGTTGTAGGATATTGTATATATTGTTGTAGGACATTGTATATGATGTGGTGGGATATTATATATACTGTTGTAGGATATTGTATATGATGTGGTGGGATATTGTATATGATGTGGTGGGATATTATATATATTGTTGTAGGATATTGTTTATGATGTGGTGGGATATTGTATATAATGTGGTGGGATATTATATATATTGTTGTAGGATATTGTATATGATGTGAGATATTGTTGATGATGTGGTGAGATATTGTACATGATGTGGTAGGATATTATATATATTGTTAAAGGATATTGTATATATTGTAGGATATTGTCCATGATGTGGTAGGATATTGTATATATTGTTGTAGGATATTGTATATGATGTGAGATAATGTTGATGATGTGGTTAGATATTGTCCATGATGTGGTAGGATATTGTATATATTGTTGTAGGATATTGTACATGATGTGAGATAATGTTGATGATGTGGTGAGATATTGTACATGATGTGGTAGGATATTGTATATATTGTTGTAGGATATTGTATATATTGTAGGATATTGCCCATGATGTGGTAGGATATTGTATATATTGTTGTAGGATATTGTATATGATGTGAGATAATGTTGATGATGTGGTGAGATATTGTACATGATGTGGTAGGATATTGTATATATTGTTGTAGGATATTGTATATGATGTGAGATAATGTTGATGATGTGGTGAGATATTGTCCATGATGTGGTAGGATATTGTATATATTGTTGTAGGATATTGTACATGATGTGAGATAATGTTGATGATGTGGTGAGATATTGTACATGATGTGGTAGGATATTGTATATATTGTTGTAGGATATTGTATATATTGTAGGATATTGTCCATGATGTGGTAGGATATTGTATAAATGGTTGTAGGATATTGTATATATTGTTGGATATTGTCCATGATGTGGTAGGATATTGTACATGATGTGGTAGGATATTGTATATATTGTTGAAGGATATTGTATATATTGTAGGATATTGTCCATGATGTGGTAGGATATTGTATATATTGTTGAAGGATATTGTATATATTGTAGGATATTGTCCATGATGTGGTAGGATAGTGTATATATTGTTGAAGGATATTGTAAATGATGTGATATAATGTCGATGATGTGGTGAGATATTGTACATGATGTGGTAGGATATTGTATATATTGTTGAAGGATATTGTATATATTGTAGGACATTGTCCATGATGAGGTAGGATATTGTATATATTGTTGTAGGATATTGTATATGATGTGAGATATTGTTGATGATGTGGTGAGATATTGTACATGATGTGGTGGGATATTGTATATATTGTTGTAGGATATTGTATATATTGTAGGATATTGTCCATGATGTGGTAGGATATTGTATATATTGTTGTAGGATATTGTATATGATGTGAGATAATGTTGATGATGTGGTGAGATATTGTACATGATGTGGTAGAATATTGTATATATTGTTGTAGGATATTGTATATGATGTGAGATAATGTTGATGATGTGGTGAGATATTGTACATGATGTGGTAGGATATTGTTTATATTGTTGTAGGATATGGTATATAATGTGAGATAATGTTGATGATGTGGTGAGATATTGTACATGATGTGGTAGGATATTGTATATATTGTTGTAGGATATTGTATATGATGTGAGATAATGTTGATGATGTGGTGAGATATTGTACATGATGTGGTAGGATATTGTATATATTGTTGTAGGATATTGTATATATTGTAGGATATTGTCCATGATGTGGTAGGATATTGTATATATTGTTGTAGGATATTGTACATGATGTGAGATAATGTTGATGATGTGGTGAGATATTGTACATGATGTGGTAGGATATTGTATATATTGTTGTAGGATATTGTATATATTGTAGGATATTGTCCATGATGTGGTAGGATATTGTATATATTGTTGTAGGATATTGTATATGATGTGAGATAATGTTGATGATGTGGTGAGATATTGTCCATGATGTGGTTGGATATTGTATATATTGTTGTAGGATATTGTTTATGATGTGGTGAGATATTGTCCATCATGTGGTAGGATATTGTATATATTGTTGTAGGATATTGTATATGATGTGAGATAATGTTGATGATGTGGTGAGATATTGTACATGATGTGGTAGAATATTGTATATATTGTTGTAGGATATTGTATATGATGTGAGATAATGTTGATGACATGGTAGTATAATGTGGCTGAACACCCCTGTAGATTTAACACATTTCATGCGGCAGTAATCAAATAGTTCTCTGGCACAATGGTGGATTTAATCCTAAGACGTACATATCCTTCTGATTTTATGTGTGTTTTTGGTATGTACCTCTGATTTGATAAAACAAACGCACCCTCATGGCGTTCATGTTATATTTGACATGGCAAACTTGGAGACTTCGGAACGGCTACCGCCCTCGATGTATGATCAGGTAGTTGTTGAGAAGTCGGTTTTCCGCTCACATCCGTCATATCGGGCACTTCAGTCATCATGGAATGTTCGGCCCTATGGCGGATCAGAAGAGAAAGAGCTAATAATACTTGTCATTTTGAAATGTTTGTTTGTTGTTTAACACGCTGGATGCCTAGTTTTTGTTTCTGACGCACATATAACTCCATACATTCAATCAAAAAATAGCCTGTGTTGAAATGTCTTTACATCTTGGAATGAAGAACGTCACGAATCAAGTAAACAATTACTTACAGATATGCACGACCTTCATAGTAAGAAGGTCATATACTATGGGTACGAAATATCCAGCCCAATCAGCTAGCCTAGTTCGAATAAATCGTCTCTTTCTTCAAGACAGACATACATCGTAATAATTGAATTTGTGCCCCGTGAAGATCCGGGGTAGAATAGATCTTCAGCATCCCATGCTTGCCGTAAATGGCGACTATGCTTGTTGTAAGAGGCGACTAACGGGAACGGTTGGTCAGACTCGCTGACTTGGTTGATGCATGTCATCGTATCCCAATTGCATGGATCGATGCTCATGATGTAAATGACTGGATTGTCTGGTCCAGACTCGATTATTTACAGATCGCCGTCATATTGCTGGAATATTGCTGAATGCGGCGTTAAACAACAAACAAACAAACTGAATTCGTGAGTGAGTTCGATCGCTACCCCACACCCGAAGTCACACAACAAATATTGGCTTACCTATCTTCCTTGGTAACAAACGTGACTTCAGAATGTTTAATTCTGTTCTTTGAGGGGCATTTCAACAGTGCCAAATATCGTTGTCGGAACTTGCTGCTGACCACGATGTATATGATAGGGTTGAGGCAGGAGGAGAGTTTGGCAAACATGACTGGGGCGACAGTAAGCCAGGTAGGTACGGATGCAGCCTTTCCGAATGTCGCCCACAGCGAGATGATTGAGTACGGCAGCCAGCAGATCAGGAACACCAACACTAGCAGAAAGCACAACTGAAATGACGGGCAGTTGTGAGTGAGTCAGTTTGTTTACATCAACTTAATGTGGGTGGAGTGGGTGAGTGAGTTGGGTTTAACGCCGCTTTAAGCAGTTTTGCAGTTATATCAGGGAGTGTCAGTCTTGTGTAGGAGTAAAGCTCGAAGTGAGGTGAGGTGAAATTGGGTTTAACGTCGCGTCCAAGATTATTGCACTTATATAGCGACGTGCATGCACGTGTGTGTGTGTGGCTGCTTGTACTAGTCCGGACTGATGCCGATTTATAGTGCTCGCTCACTGAGATACCATGCCGCAGTTTAACATGAATACCCCACTCAGACGCAGTATACTGACTCCGAGCCGACCAGTCCTTGTTTTAGCCCCTTGAAGTCGAGCGCCAGACAGGGTAACAACAAGTACCATAATTTAACGTCTTTTGGTATGACGCGGCCGGGGATCGAACCCCGGACCTTCCGCTCTCCGGGCGGACGCTCTACCACAAGACCACGGAGGCGGCAAAGCTCGTAGTGATGCAGGTCTCACACGTTTACCACTTCGGTGAAACCCCCGAACACACATATAGTTTTGTATTGTATCTTGGAAGACTGTGCCAACATACGTTTTATGAATATCGCCTGTCACCATCACTTTAACTTACTGTTTTTCAGGAAAATATTTAGGTGCCTCGTGTTCCTATCCACGTACATCCAATGATTACCAAGTAGGGTTATGTAATTTGAAGAGCCAGGTGTGCACGCTGACGTTGCTGTTTGCTAAGTGAGAAAGTACCTGCTGATATTGACGTTGCTGTTACCTTAGTGTTGGTGTACCCTGGTGATACTGACGTTGCAGTTACCGTAGTGAGGAGGTACCCTGTGACGATACTGACTTTGTTGTTACCTAGTGAGCAGGTACACTGATGACACTGACGTTACGGTTACCGTAGTGAGGAGGTACCCTGTGAGGATACTGACTTTGTTGTTACCCAGTGAGCAGGTACACTGATGTTACTGACGTTGCAATTACCGTAGTGAGGAGGTACACTGAGAATACTGACGTTGTTGTTACCTAGTGAGGATGTAACCTGGTGATACTGACGTTGTTGTTACCTTTGTGAGGAGGTACCCTGAGGATACTGACGTTGCTGTTACCTTAGTGTTGATGTAACCTGGTGATACTGACGTTGTTGTTACCTTAGTGAGGAGGTACACTGAGGATACTGACGTTGCTGCTACCTTAGTGTTGATGTAGCCTGGTGATACTGACGTTGTTGTTACCTTAGTGAGGAGGTACCCTGAGGATACTGACGTTGTTGTTACCTTAGTGTTGATGTAACCTGGTGATACTGACGTTGTTGTTACCTTAGTGAGGATGTTCCCTGAGGATACTGACGTTGCTGCTACCTTAGTGTTGATGTAGCCTGGTGATACTGACGTTGTTGTTACCTTAGTGAGGAGGTACACTGATGAAACTGACGTTGCTGTTACCTTAACGTTGATGTACCCTGAGGATACTGACGTTACTATTATCGTAGTGAGGGTGTAACCTGGTGATACTGACGTTGCTGTTACTTTAGTGAGGAGGTACACTGATGTTACTGACGTTGCTGTTACCGTAGTGAGGAGGTACACTGAGAATACTGACGTTGTTGTTACCTAGTGAGGATGTAGCCTGGTGATACTGACGTTGTTGTTACCTTAGTGAGGAGGTACACTGATGATACTGACGTTGCTGTTACCGTAGTGAGGATGTAACCTTGTGATACTGACGTTGCTGTTACCTTAGTGAGGAGGTACACTGATGATACTTACGTTGCTGTTACCTTAGTGAGGAGGTACACTGAGGATACTGACGTCGTTGTGACCTTAGTAAGGATGTAACCTGGTGATACTGACGCTGTTGTTACCTTAGTGTTGATGTACCCTGAAGATACTGACGTTACTGTTATCGTAGTGGGGATGTAACCTGGTGATACTGACGTTGTTGTTACCTTAGTTAGGATGTAACCTGGTGATACTGACGTTGTTGTTACCTTAGTGTTGATGTAACCTGGTGATACTGACGTTGCTGTTACGTTAGTGTTGATGTACCCTGAGGATGCTGACGTTGCTGTTACCTTAGTGTTGATGTATCTAGGTGATACTGACGTTGTTGTTACCGTAGTGAGGATGTAACCTGATGATACTTACGTTGCTGTTACCTTAGTGAGGAGGTACACTGAGGATACTGACGTTGCTGCTACCTTAGTGTTGATGTAACCTGGTGATACTGACGTTGTTGTTACCTTAGTGAGGATGTAACCTGGTGATACTGACGTTGCTGTTACCTTAGTGTTGATGTACCCTGGGGATACTGACGTTACTGTTACCTTAGTGAGGATGTAACCTGGTGATACTGACTTTGCTGTTACCTTAGTGTTGATGTACCCTGAGGATACTGACGTTGCTGTTACCTTAGTGAGGAGGTACACTGAGGATACTGACGTTGCTGCTACCTTAGTTAGGATGTAACCTGGTGATACTGACGTTGTTGTTACCTTAGTGTTGATGTAACCTGAGGATACTGACGTTGTTGTTACCTTAGTGAGGATGTAACCTGGTGATACTGACGTTGTTGTTACCGTAGTGAGGATGTAGCCTGGTGATACTGACGTTGTTGTTACGTTAGTGTTGATGTACCCTGAGGATACTGACGTTGTTGTTACCTTAGTGAGGATGTAACCTGGTGATACTGGCGTTGCTGTTACCTTAGTGTTGATGTTACCTGAGGATACTGACGTTGTTGTTACCTTAGTGTTGATGTAACCTGGTGATACTGACGTTGCTGTTACCTTAGTGTTGATGTAACCTGAGGATACTGACGTTGTTGTTACCTTAGTGTTGATGTAACCTGGTGATACTGACGTTGTTGTTACCTTAGTGAGGATGTACCCTGAGGATACTGACGTTGTTGTTACCTTAGTGATGATGTACCCTGAGGATACTGACGTTGTTGTTTTCTTAGTGAAGATGTAACCTGGTGATACTGACGTTGCTGTTACCTTAGTGTTGATGTAACCTGAGGATACTGACGTTGTTGTTACCTTAGTGATGATGTACCCTGAGGATACTGACGTTGTTGTTTTCTTAGTGAAGATGTAACCTGGTGATACTGACGTTGTTGTTACCTTAGTGTTGATGTAACCTGAGGATACTGACGTTGTTGTTACCTTAGTGAGGATGTAACCTGGTGATACTGACGTTGCTGTTACCTTAGTGTTGATGTAACCTGAGGATACTGACGTTGTTGTTACCTTAGTGTTGATGTAACCTGGTGATACTGACGTTGCTGTTACCTTAGTGTTGGTGTAACCTGAGGATACTGACGTTGTTGTTACCTTAGTGTTGATGTAACCTGGTGATACTGACGTTGTTGTTACCTTAGTGATGATGTACCCTGAGGATACTGACGCTGTTGTTACCTTAGTGAAGATGTAACCTGGTGATACTGACGTTGTTGTTACCTTAGTTAGGATGTAACCTGGTGATACTGACGTTGCTGTTACCTTAGTGTTGATGTAACCTGAGGATACTGACGTTGTTGTTACCTTAGTGTTGATGTAACCTGAGGATACTGACGTTGTTGTTACCTTAATGATGATGTACCCTGAGGATACTGACGTTGTTGTGTTATCAGTGAAGATGTAACCTGGTGATACTGACGTTGTTGTTACCTTAGTGTTGATGTAACCTGGCGATACTGACGTTGTTGTTACCTTAGTGATGATGTACCCTGAGGATACTGACGCTGTTGTTACCTTAGTGAAGATGTAACCTGGTGATACTGACGTTGTTGTTACCTTAGTGTTGATGTAACCTGGTGATACTGACGTTGCTGTTACCTTAGTGTTGATGTAACCTGAGGATACTGACGTTGTTGTTACCTTAGTGTTGATGTAACCTGGTGTTACTGACGTTGTTGTTACCTTAATGATGATGTACCCTGAGGATACTGACGTTGTTGTGTTCTTAGTGAAGATGTAACCTGGTGATACTGACGTTGTTGTTACCTTAGTGTTGATGTAACCTGGTGATACTGACGTTGCTGTTACGTTAGTGTTGATGTAGCCTGGAGATACTGACGTTGTTGTTACCGTAGTGAGGATGTAACCTGGTGATACTGACGTTGCTGTTACTTTAGTGAGGAGGTACACTGAGGATACTAACGTTGCTGCTACCTTAGTGTTGATGTAGACTGGAGATACTGACGTTGTTGTTACCGTAGTGAGGATGTAACCTGGTGATACTGACGTTGCTGTTACTTTAGTGAGGAGGTACACTGATGATACTGACGTTACTATTATCGTTGTGATGGTGTAACCTGGTGATACTAACGTTGCTGTTACCGCAGTGATGAGGTACCTGCTGATATTGACGTTGCTGTTACCTTAGTGTTGATGCATCTAGGTGATACTGACGTTGTTGTTACCGTAGTGAGGATGTAACCTGATGATACTTATGTTGCTGTTACCTTAGTGAGGAGGTACACTGAGAATACTGACGTTGCTGTTACCGTAGTGAGGATGTACCCTGACGATACTGACATTACTGTTATCGTAGTGAGGAGGTGCCTGCTGATACTGACGTTGCTGTTACCTGAGTGACTTGGTTTTCCTGCCGATTAGGTCGTCGCTGCATCTCCGCTCTTGTGACCATGAGGATGTTGATGTAGCAGTAGATCATGACGATGACATTAAGTATGACGATAAACACAACAAGGGATGATATGAAAATTTTGTCTTTGATCCGTTCTCCGGCCCAATTCACTGTACACGATGTCTAGGAGCAGAAAGAACACACGGAATAAATACAATCCATCTGCTTTTCTCTATTTCGTAGGGACAACACGCGATTACATCGGTAAGACCTGAAAAGGTTTTGCTTTTGTCGAATTTTAGAGTTTTATGAGGAATTAAAAAGGCCAATCTAACGTATAATTTCTATTGTCACTTCTATGAAAACGAATTATCAAGGCTGCTGTAACGAATTAGTTCATCGACGACATATATACTACTCAAAAGAAGTTACAGAACACCCGACTTTCTCATTTAATTATAGTTTATTTGTCACGGCTGGTGGGTATTGCAACACAGCTTTCGAACTGCGGGTGTTCTTTAACGTGTTTTGAGTAGTCTACAAAATGGCCATACTTCTTGAGGTAATAGGGACTGTCGGGTAGCATAGTAGTTAAAGCGTTCGCTCGTCACGCCGAAGACCCAGGTTCGATTCCCGACATGGGTACAACGTGTGAAGCCCATTTCTGGTGTCCCCCGCCGTGATATTGCTGGAATATTGCTAAAAGCGGCGTAACACCATACTCACTCACTCTTTAGGTGATCATTGTTCTGTCGACCACCAGTGTCGCGTTGGCATTTTGTCCCACAGTCACCTAACTCGCCGTGATGTATGACCAACGTGACGTACCCCAAACAGGCCGCCTTCGTGGTCTATTAGATTGCGTGTCTGCTCGACATTAAGGGCATAAAACAAATACGACCCGTGAAGATTCCGGGGTAGAATAGGTCTTCAGCAACCCATACTTGCCGTAAAAGGTGACTATGCTTGTCGTAAAAGGCGACTAACGGGATCGGGTGGTCAGGCTCGCTGACTTGGTTGATGCATGTCATCGATCGCAATTGCGTGGATCGATGCTCATGATATTAATCACTGGATTGTCTGGTCCAGACTCGATTATTTAGACCGCCGTCATATAGCTGGCATATTGCTGAGTGCGGCGTTAAACAACAAACCAACCAACCAACATAAAACAAATACGGACTGTTCCGCTCGAAGCGTGGTATTCATGTTAAACTGCAGCATGGTATCTCAGTGTGGGCAATAATTTCGGCATTAATCCGGACTAGTCCAAGCAGACACACACGCGCGTGCATGAACGTCGCTTTATAAGTGAATAAAACGGCTCTCTGTGGGAACATATTTGTAGGACGTATGTAAAGACTGATATTTGACGTACCCCAAACGGCTCTCTGTGGGAACATATTTGTAGGACGTATGTAAAGACTGATATTTGACGTACCCCAAACGGCTCCTTCTTATAATTGACTCCAGTAATCAAGGGCATCACCGCCCAGGCGAAGGCGTACATCCAGATGCCAGTCAGTACCTTCACCAGAAAATGTCGCCTGTTTTGAAAAGTCGCTGGAAAAGAAGACACTGTATTATCCATATTGTGTTAAGAAACGAAAACAGGAAAAATTTAACAGGGCTTACGTTCTGTAGACCCGAACTTATTCCAGTCGTGCTAAACGAAGCTCTGCTAACGAAGGGTCCTGGGTATATTTCATAATAGAATGGCTATATATTACACTGGATAATCAAGGAGGTACTGCGTAATAAGTACAAGGTACCGGACAGGGCCACCACTGTGTGACATACCCGTGAAGATCCGGGGTAGAATAGGTCTTCAGCAACCCATGCTTGCCGTAAAAGGCGACTATGCTTGTCGTAAAAGGCGACTATGCTTGTCGTAAAAGGCGACTAACAGGATCGGGTGGTCAGGCAAGCTGACTTGGTTGATGCATGTCATCGATCCCAATTGCATGGATCACGATATCAATCACTGGATTGCCTGGTCCATACTCGATTATTTACAGACCGCCGTCATGTAGCTGGAATATTGCTGAATGTGGCGTTAAACAACAAACAAACAAACAAACAAACTGTGTGACATAAACATTATTAGAAAACTCAAAAGTCAAAGACATTACGGGTCGGATGTAAATTATCGGGGTAGCATAACCCTTTATACTCCTTATCGCATCGCTACTAGATACAGTCAGATGTGGCCATAACTATGCATTGGGGTTAATCTTAATAAAACCGACAACAAACAAACCATTGAATTATCAGTGTTTATATGGACGATAATCCGTTGTTTCCAATTCAAGCTTACAATTAAATGAATTATCGGAGAAATGACCATGAACCCCGCTGTGTTTGGTCATCAATGTCGTGATTGTCAGAAATGAATATGGAGAACCCATGCTTCTGTAGAGTTAAAGATATAATGTTATAATCAGTCTCATTAAAGTCAGATCTTGGTGCTCGCTACCGCTACGCAACTACTGGAAATCTCCTTGGCAACAAAACGATTAATGTTCTTAAAACAGACTTAATGGCTTCTTAGGACTATCTTGTTGTTTACAATATTCCTTTTAAATGTGCGAACTTAAGTATGTTTAATCTGAGGACTGATAGATATGAGAAAATACATCATCTTGTTCCATGCGACTATTTTGAGAGTGAAGCATTACATGGTTGAAACGAAAACATAACAACAGATCGCTGCATGAATTCACCTTGACCTGCCCCACAGGTTTCGCAACGCCAGTTAAGCTAGAAAGCAGGTTATATAACATACATTCGTGACGCCTTTGGGCGGGATTAAGATATGGCAACGGATGTATTGTCAAGAGTGGGCAAGTGAGTTGGGTTTAACGCCGCTTTTAACAGTATTCCGGTTATATCGCGGCGTGTCAGCTTAATGTGGGAGGAAGGCCCGAAGTGATGCAGGTCTCAGATGTTTACCACTTCGGTGAAACCCATGAGCACGGGTATGGTGCTGACAAACCTAGAAACATAATCGAGGCGAACCGGGATTCGGGACACAATCATAGGTTTCTAGCGTGCCCAAGGGACGCGCCTTTGCACAGCGAATCGCGGCGCCTTAGACGACTGGGCCACCCGTGCCCCCGTATTATCAAGAATACGTTCACATACGATTGTGAGGAGCGAGTTTGGTTTAACGCTGCTGTGGACAGTGTTTCAGTTATAGTACTGGACCACCTGATTCTTTTTCCCAGTTAACATGTTAGGTGTCTAAAAAGGGGAGGGTGCGCACCCCCTTCAACCCTTTCCCCCTCACCCTGGATCCGCCAGTGGGTGGGGCGGTCGGGTAGCCTACTGATTAAAGCGTTCGCTCGTCACGCCGAAGACCCGGGTTCGTTTCCCGACATGGGTACAATGTGTGAAGCCCATTCCTGGCCCGTCGTGATATTGCTAGAATATTGCTAAAAGCGGCGTAAAACCATACTCAATCACTCACTCACTCACTCCGCCAGTGGGTTATGTTTACGTTTGGTAGGTTGAGATAGTAGATAGTCTAAGATAACTGATATTTCAGATGCATTATTCCACTGTAGAAAATATGTAAAAATACAGACCGTTGAGACCCGTGAAGATCCAGGGCAGAATAGGTCTTCAGCAACCCATGCTTGCCGTGAAAGGCGACTATGCTTGTCATAAGAGGTGACTAACGGGATCTGGTGGTCAGGCTAGCTGACTTGGTTGATGCATGTCATCGATCCCAATTGCATGGATCGATGCTCACGATATCAATCACTGGATAGTCTGGTCCAGCCTCGATTTTTTACTGACCGCCGTCATGTAGCTTGAAGATTGCTGAGTGTGGCGTTAAACAACAAACAGACAAACAAACAAACAAACAAACAGACAGACAGTTGGGAAATACAATAGAATACAATTGGATATTGCATCTTTGAGACAATATCTTTGACGTCATTCTTGACATAAGCATGTAGAAAAGGGTAGCAGTAGTTACAGGACAACTTCTTGCAGATGATGAAGTAGCGTTCGAGGCTGACGGCTGACAGCGTTGATATGGAGGCGTGGCCAAACACGAAGCCGAGGAAGCCGTACACAGTACACCCTATATCTCCATACAGCCATTGCTGAAACGAACGAAACGTAAACCTATTATTATAAGTATCTCGTTTTACATAATTCATTTGTTGTACGCATATAAATAAAATAAACAATTATTGTGTCCTACATAAATGCTGAAACATCGATACAATGCATAAAGATCAGTTGAGCAAATCCTTTTGCTTTGACAATTTAGTAAAAGAGTCATGTTTTTGTGGAACGGTATCTCAAGTTTCAGAGTCAAGCCAAAAGTAAATAGTACAGATGCGTGGTGTTTGCAGAGTTCGTCATACGTTGCCAGCCTTATATGGGGCATTATTTTATATCACGTAAATGATGAACCTCCATTCTTTTGCATACGATGTCAGCAGTTAGTATGATGAAACAATAAACATTACGTGGGAACAAAATTAATTAAATGGAAAGAATTAATAATTTAAGGGTTAGAAATGATATTTCCATGAAACGAAGTAATAATTCGCGAATTGTCCGTCACAAGTCCATGTCCTGCCACACAAATATTCACCCGCGAATCCTGACAACTAAAGGGGCAGAACTCTGTAGAATGAGATGTGGCGAATTAACCACTCGGCTTCTGCGGAAATAGTTTCCATTTTGCGAAAAAGGTAAAATAGCGATGAAAATTATATGGATGCATCGGCCTCTGCCGAAATAGTTTCCATTTTGCGAAAAAGGTAAAATAGCGATGAAAATTATATGGATGCATCATTGAAAATCAGTGAGGACACCAGGTGTTCGTGAAATATACGATAAATTATTCTTCTCTCTCACTAACCCCTCTCTGCTATTTCCACGAAAAGTATAATGGTCGTCATTTTAAGGACACATTCATATCAACGCATAACAAGAGATATGTTTAATATGTAACTATATATAACAATAACTACATTTGATATTGACTATTTGCCAGTCACACCTGTTTGTTTGTTTCGTTTATTTGTTGTTTAACGCTGCACTCAGCAATATTCCCGCTTTCTGACGGCGGTGTGTAAATAATCGAGTTTGGACCAGACGATCCAGTGATCATCAGACATCATGAACATTTACGCCATTGGGATACGATGACATGCATCAACCAAATCAGCGAGAATGACCACCCGATACCATTAGTCGCCTTTTACGACAAGCATGAGTTGCTGAAGACCAATTCCAACCCGGATCCAACCTGTGTGTCAGTTGTTTTGTCGTATTTTTATGTGTTATAAAAAACCATTTGCAACCCTAAAGGAAGAAATATTGTTTTACAAAATTTGATAGATACAACATTTTGATTTGGTAGATGTATGGAGAAAACAAAATGAGAAAATTAAAACATTACATGAAAAAATATAATATGTTGGCAAATGGTTTGTGAATATATCATGTGTTTTTCGTCTATATACCCCTGTGACCTACCTGGGCGACGTTTGAAGACACGACAAACGGGAAGCAAATGCCTGTCATACCGATGTCGGCGATGGCGAGGTTGAGCAACAGGATGTCGACGGAGGAGCGAAACTTATTCTCAGTCACAAACATCACCACTGATACCACGTTTGAACTCACCCCAAACACACCTGATAACAAGAAACATGTCTGTGACATAAGTATGGACTACCACTGGTTTAAAAACACACCAGAATACAAATGAAAGCGACAAAACCATAATAATGATAATAATAATAATAATAATAATAGAAACGACAAATCCCTTTCCATATTCATAATTATAAAAACGACAAATCCCTTTCCATATTCATAATAATGATAGAAACGACAAATCCCTTTTCATATTCATAATAAGAAAAGAGACAAAACCCTTCCCAAATTCATAATAATAAAAACGACAAATCCCTTTCCAAATTCATAATCATAAAAACGACAAATCCCTTTCCATATTCATAATAATAATAGAAACGACAAATCCCTTTTAATATTCATAAGAAAAGTTGACAAAACCTTTTCCATATTTATAATAATAAAAACGACAAATCCCTTCCCAAATTCATAATAATAAAAACGACAAATCCCTTTCCATATTCATAATAATGATAGAAACGACAAATCCCTTTTCATATTCATAATAAGAAAAGAGACAAATGCCATTCTAAATTCATAATAATAAAAGTTACAATATTTTTTCATACAAATAATAATAATAACGACAAATCCCTTTCCATATTCATAAGAAATGTCTACCAAAAGCAGAGTCGATTGTACGATTCCGACTATGTCGTTTGAGAGAAGGTGACCCATGCGGGTAGACTCTTTGCTTGCAAAGTAAGGTGGAAAGCGCCCATGATAAAAAATACAACTGATACAATGGTGTTCTACTTCTACAAGTTTTAATAACAAAACTCCGAGATACAGTATCTGGTATATGATTCCTATTTGGAAAAGACACAATAACAAATTAAACCGGTCAATAGCAAAACTGTCGATGTCCTTGTCTGGAATCGACTATTACC